CATTTATTTATTTTTTTTTAAACGCCCTCCTTTCTAAAAAAATATTCTGCACTTGTGTGAAAACTGGTGGGCGGTAAGAAAATGTTTCCATCAAGAAAGATGCATTAGTGGGCGGTAGGAAGAAAAAGGTTGACTACCACTGGTATCAGTGCTGTGGAGCTGCTGGTGTACGGGTCCACGAGCTACGATAGAGAGCTTCCCTTCTTCTATATGTCACGGTAATTGGGCGTGCTCGAGAGACTAGAACGAATACGGTGGCTCTCTGGATATCTCCATTTAGGTACGTAATTCGGTGTTCATTCAAAACCTACACATTTCATAAGTCTGCACTTACTTCCACAGGGAGTATTGATGAATAGTGAGAAGGATTTCTTATATATGTCTCCGGTCTTGATTTTCATTTGTTGCATCTGTGAAGGTGAGCTTGATGCCAGGTATACAGCAATCATATTGTGTATTGCAAAAAGTATCACTAATACATTTTTGAAACTATTATTTATAAATGATATGCATATATAGTATGTTGTTGAAGCTATAAGACATGTATCTATTTGCACTATATGAGCTCCATATTTTACTTTTATTTGTTATACATTTTTGTTTCATAGAATGTAACTTTGAATGATACGTTGTAGACAATAGACATTACTGATAGATTTTGTTGACCAAGTAATAAATTACTTATTTTATAAAAAGAGTTTTAAAAACGTGTTGGATTATTGAGTGTTGTTTTAAAACCTAATGGGCGGTGATTATGTGATTTCTTGAACCATGCTTAATGATATATGTAGATAAAGAAAGTAGGAGTACATATATTGGAGCAAGTATGATAAGCAGATTGGGTAGCAATAAAAAAAAGAGGTAATACTAATACTAGTAATAAAAATAAATATAAAGATAGAAATAAACTTAACCCCTTAAGGACTGGACTGTTTTTGCGATGTTGTACATTTGCGACCAGGCCTCTTTTTACACTTTTGTGGTGTTTAGCTGTAATTTTCCGCTCTATCATTTACTGTTTCTATACAAATTATATATTATTTTTTTCAGGACAAAAAAAGGCTTTCTTTACACACCATTATTTATATAATCTCATGTAATTTAATTTAAAAAAAATAAAAAAAATATGATGTTTTTTGACTTTTACTTGAAAAATCTTTTACTCATCTACAAAAGCAAATATAAAAAAACTGCTAAATAGATTCAAAATTTTGTCCTGAGTTTTAAAATACCCAATGTTTACATGCTTTTTTGCTTTTTTTTTGCAAGTTATAGGGCTATAGGTACAAGTAGGATATTACATACATACATTTTTTCAAATTTATCAATCGTGACACTATTGTAACACTATTATCTGTCATAAATCTCTGAATAACACCCCACATGTACATATTTTTTTTTTAAAGTAGACAACCCAGGGTATTCAATATGGGGTACGTCCAGTTTTTTTTAGTAGACACCTAGTTGCAAACACTGGCCAAAGTTAGCGTTCATATTTGTTTGTGTGTGAAAAAAGTAAAAAAAACAAATTGAATGCTAATTTTGGCCAGTGCTAATTTTGGCCAGTGTTTGTGACTAAGTGGCTACTAAAAAAGACTGGACATACCCCATTTGCAATACCTTGGGTTGTCTTCTTTTGCAAATGGTATGCCATCATGGGGGTAATTCTCATTCCTGGGCTACCATATGCTCTCAAAGGCAACGTAACCAACCTGGCCATTTTCAATGTAAAAATATTTGACCCATATATTTGACCCTGTAACTTTCAAAAACGCTATAAAACCTGTACATGGGGGGTACTGTTATACTCGGGAGACTTTGCTGAATGCAAATATTAGTGTTTCAAAAAAGGAAAACGTATCACAACAATTATATCATCAGGACCGTCACCGGTCGGCAATGGAAAAATGCTGATGATGGTCCTGAACCGTCCTTGGTCGTTAAGGGGTTAAGATAAAAATAAATAAAAATAAATATAAAAATAATAACAGTGATAATAACAATAAAAAATAATAAAAAGCAAATAACAATTGAGAGAAATAGAAATAAATATGAAATAGAAATGAATAAATATCTAAATAAAGGATATAAGTGAAGGACTGGGATACCATAAGACATAGTAAAAATATTTTGATCTTCATAGGACAGACAGATGTTTATAGGTAGTGTGTATATCTGTCTGTTCTCATAAGGTCAGAAAGCTGCCAGGTCCAGGACTTTATTGAGTCCTCCATTGTAGAGTGTGCCCATCTTGCAAATTCAATAGGATTCTCTTTGCCTCAGGATTTTTTATCTGTCCCCCCCTCTCTTGGTTGGGTGGATAGTTTCTATTCCTTTTACGGAGAGGCCTTGATGATCTCCATTATGTATTTCTAGAAAGCGTAATGGGACCCCATTTTTAGTGCACTTTCTCTTTATTGCCCTTATGTGTTCACATGTTCTGTTTTTTAGTTTACAGCATGTTCCGCCTATGTACGGTTTGCCACAGGGGCATTCCATAAGGTAAACGACAAATGATGTATTGCAGTTCATGAATCCTTTTGTCTCATACTGTTTTCTATCATTGTTGTGATTGGATGAAAAGTATTTATTGTTCTTTTGTTTTATGAATGAGCAAGTAGTACAATTTTTCCTTCCACATCTATATGTTCCTTTTAGTGATAGGTTTTTCAGTAGATTGTTTGAATTCTTTTTCTTATATGATTTGTAAGAATTGATAAGTAAAACACTGCAAAATTGTATATAACTTTCTGTGTATGTGACTCTTTTCACAACTTGGTATCATCTATGTCATAACAGTGTGCTAATTATCAAAGCTTTCAATCGCACAATATATAAGAAATATTGTACACCTGTATTATTGACCTTTAAGCCATTAATATAAAATATATAAAAAAGAGAGGTGTATAAAGGCTTCAATGGTCATGTAAATCAGAAAAAAACAAGGTTAATTATTCTGACTTAGATGGGAAATTTGGTGTTAGAATGTCCAGGACCAAAAGTCTCTGATCTAACTGTTAACAAAACAAAGCTTCTGTGTATTAAAGGAACACTATAGGGTCAGGAATACATACATGTCAGGAATACATACATGTATACATATAATGCAAAACCCAACATTAAGGTGGATTGCCCCCCTCCCGTTATCCCCTTTAAAAACATGAAAACTCACCTTATTTTAAGCACCGTGTGGTTCTGCCGGCACTGACCCCGCCTTCTTGGTGACATAATCAGAATTGCAGATTTTTAGCCTATCCAATGCTTTCCCATGGGGAAAGCATTGGGTTGGCTAAAATCACAAGGGGGCAGGGTCAAATGGCATCTTGGCCAATCAGCACCTCCTCATAGAGATGCATTGAATCAATGCATCTCTATGAGGAAAATTCAGCGTCCCCATGCAGAGCGTTTATGAGTTTTCGCCCACTCTAAGACCGTGTAGGTCGAAACGTTGTGCTACGTTGGGCTTCAATAAATTTGCCATTTCTGAACCTTGGAGTGCCTAAACCATTTTGTACTTCATGCATACTGTCTCTGGGACCTGGTGTTTGGTCCTGGTTTGGTTGCACCCTGGCTCAGATTGATGGGATTGGTGCAGTTCCACCTGAGCAGTATGTAAGGTATGTGTGTGTGATTCAGATTTTATTATCTACAATATGAGTGTTTTATGCATATGTAAGTGATGCTTATAATATATACACATGTAAATATTAATACAATACACCTATAGCAATATGCATGTGTCTGAATATATGCATAATGTTCTCAAAAATGAAAATATACATTGTTGAATTGGCTTATCCTCACTAACACACACACCTACACAGACATACACGCACACGTTATTGACACACAAAATGCAACACACAATCTGTCATTCTGACATACATACCTACACACAGGAAACACGTTACATACAGCTATATACATCCAGCCAAACACCACACACATTCATTACATACAGCCACACACAGTTTAAATTTAATGTCAAATGGCAATCATTAACAGATTAAATTAGCAATGAGAAGCTGATATCATATACACTTCTGTTTGAATTAAACGTGTTTAGTGGAATAACATTTAAAAATAACAATTAGAATATGACAATTTATTTTTAAGTCAAAGCTATATTTTGCACCATTGATTTGGCTTGCGAAATACAGTGACTTTTTTGTAGTATTAGCCAGCACATGATATACAATTCCAAAAGAGAATATAAAAAGATTATAAAGCCTTATGTTGTGTGAAGTAGAAAGTACAGAACCTACAGGGATTTTAATTATTTTGTACATATCTATCACGTTTCCCTGTGATATCTCTTCCTTTACAGTGAAACCATGGTTTGCTGTACAGTGCTCAAAATTGCAAGCCCTACACTACTAGCCACAAAGTTATTCGCCACTGCAAGCCTGGAGGGCTTACCTTTTCATATAAATGGGTTAAAAAAAGGGAAAAGTAAACATAATATTAAAAATCCCATTGTATCTGTAATCAAAATGCAAGACATATTTCACATTTAGTGTAGTTCTATTTAAATTTCACAAACAGATATATGTTTAGATATATGTTTTTAATATATTAATCTATATATTACTGTTCAAATTAAAGCTAATTATGTATTTATTACAGTATGGAATTTAATAGATTCATACAAGATTCAATTAATATTCACAAGTAGACATTACAATATTTCTTATTAGAAATTGTGGACTGTATTCCTTTAGATGTATTCCTTTTCCTGTTTATTTACAAATGTGATAAATTAAAATGTACTACCTTATAGATTGCAAAAACAAAAATCATCAAAAAACACAAAACTATCCTTTGGGAAAGGAATGGATTTGCTGAAATCATCAAGAATGATTATCTCAGCCAATGGAAGTGGGGCCAACTGCGGTGAGACCCGTGCCCTGTGGGAAAAAAAGGTCAAAAAATGGTAAAATAACACCTTTCTTGTGCTATCGGAATGGAGCCAGTCACCTAAACAGACACACATTCCCACACTCACTGATTTGACACAAACTTACAGACACACACTCACAAACACTGTTTAGCAATGCCGGGGGTGAAGTGATATCATATTCCAGCTCCCGGCATCACAGCAAAGCTTGAAGATCACAGCTTCCTTGCTACCCGCCTGCCTGCCTCTAGTCTTTGCTATTTCGGCCACCCTCCTTTACCCTACCTTGGACAGCCATCTCGGGGGCTTAATGGACTGACAAACTGACAAATATCCAGATGAATAGAGGGGTAGGTGGAATATCAGTACTTGTAATTGTAGTATGTGGCTGCTGAAACGTCCCAAAAACCAGAGTCTCTTCTTTTCTGGTGGTACAATGGATGTAAATAGTAGGATCAGGGAGCAGCGCCTGTGATAGAATTCCCACACTCAGAGCGATATGGAGGAGGGAAGGAAAAAGACACGGATATAGTGTAGTATGTTGAGATCTTATGTGATGGTAAATGAAGGGAAAGGAATTGCACTTACAATTTTCTGGAGCCTATACTCAGCTCCAGATATGTGCGTCTGGACCACTGGCGTACATACCGCGGTCATAGGGGTCGCGGCTGCGGCCTGGCCCGGCCCTCGATGTACGCCAGTGTGGCCATATTTTGCCAGCCTCTTCTCTTGTGGGGCCCAGGAACTGGCCACCTCAGGGCCCCCCGAGGCTGGCAGTGCTGTCAGCGCGCACGAGCTCTCTGCCCAGCTCCCTCGTGCGCACCGCACTGATGCTGGAGCCGGAATATGACTAAGGGAGCTGGGCAGAGAGCGCTCAGAGGAGAGTGCTCCCTCACCACCTGAGGACTGGCCGCCCAGCAGCACCACTGGACCCCAGGGAATCCCCTCAGCACTCCCAAAGATAGGGAGGCTGGGGGATTAAATAAAAAAAAATGTGTGTATGTGTGTTAGTGTGTGTGTGTCAGTGAGTGTGTTACTGTGTGTGTGTCTGTTAATGAGTGTGTTAGTTTGTGTGTGTCAGTGAGTGTGTTATTGTGTGTGTGTCTGTTAATGAGTGTGTTTGTGTGTCAGTGAGTGTGTTACTGTGTGTGTGTGTGTGTGTGTCTGTTAGTGTGTGTGTCTGCTAGTGAGTGTCAGTAAGTGTATTAGTGAGTGTTACTGTGTGTGTGTCACTGAGTGTGTTAGTTTGTGCCTGTTTATTGAGTGTCAGTGTGTGTGTGTGTTAGTTTGTGTGTCAGTGAGTGTGTCTGTTACTGAGTGTGTTAGTTTGTGTGTGTCTGTTAGTGAGTGTGTGTTTGTCAGTGAGAGTGTATGTTTTGTCACTGAGTGTGTGTCTGTCAGTAAATGTGTGTGTCTGTTAGCTAGTGTGCATGCGTCTGTTCGTGAGAGTGTGTGTGTGGTTAAAACCTCTTCAGCACTTACCTTTCTCCAGCGCGGGCTCCCTTGGCGCTGGGGATCTCTCTGCCCTGACCTGCCTCTCAGCTGCAAATGCGCGCATTCAACCGCCTATAGGAAAGCATTACTCATTGCTTTCCTATGGATGTCCAGCTGAATCACGGAAGCGCCACTAGCGGCTGTCAGTGAGACAGCTACTAGAGGCTGGATTAACCCTCAGTGAAACATAGCAGTTTCTCTGAAACTGCTATGTTTTCAGCTGCAGGTTTAAAACTAGAGGGACCTGGCACCCAGACCACTTCATTGAGCTGAAGTGATCTAAGTGCCTATAGTGGTCCTTTAAGTGTATGTGTATCATGCACTGGCGTGCACACCACAGTCGCAGGGGTTGCAGCCCTTGTGACCAGGTGCCCGCCGCCATGTGTTGCGGCCCCATGGAGGGGGGGGACCACGGATCAATTTGCGCATCAGGGCCCCATGGATCGTGTGTACGCCACTGGCCTGGCCGGTACAATCCCCGCCTATGAATATGTAGATGGTCCTTGGATGTCCTCATTAGGAGGTCTTCAGTGGTAGTAGGGTATATCTCAAGTGAAGAGCAAATAGGATATTGCTCAATATATGTAGGCGTAGGTGGTATGATCCCCACCAAGGATACCACTCCACGAATCCTCCAGTGGGGGTGTTGAAGAGAGTTGAAAGGAATTATATTATTTAAAAAAATTAAATAAAATAGAATAAAAGGATAGGCTTGGAGGCTCCAATAGCATAAATGGGCTATCTTTATTCGAAACAAAAAAATCAGTAACATAAAACAGCTTTAAAAAACACTAACGCGTTTCTCCTGCAAAGAGGCTTTATCAAAGTGTCTGTGTCTTTTTTCCTTTCCCTCCTCCATATCACTCTGAGCGTGGGAATTCCATCACAGGCGCTGCTCCCTGATCCTACTATTGACAAACACCCAGGTTGTTCTATGGCAACCTGGTGCCTGGGATTTGTTGAGCTCTGTTATAATATATATATGGCATGATACAATTTTTAAGTATATAAAAAAAATTAAAGATATAAAAATTAGAGCTATGCATTACCTATATATCTGGTTAGATTTTGGAAAATCCACTTTGGGCACAGAACAGTAATTTTTTTATTATTTTTGGTCTAACCGCAAATTATTTGGCACTTAAGAAACATTATATATATGTATATATATATACTCAGCTCCAGATATGTGTGCCGGGACCACTGGCGTACATACCGTGGACGCAGGGTTCGCGGCCGCGACCGGGCCCGGGCCTGCAACCCGTTATGTAAGCCAGTGTGGCCACATTTTGCCAGCCTCTTCTCTTGGGGGGCCCAGGAACTGGCCACCTCAGGGCCCCCCGAGGCTGGCAGTGCTGTAAGCGGGCGGGCAGGTGAGGGAGCCCTCTCCCCTGAGCGCTCTCTGCCCATATATATATAATGTTCCTTAGGTGCCAAATAATTTGCGGTTAGACCAAACATAATGTAAATTCCACAGTTACATGCATATTGTACAATTTTGTTATTATGTAAAGAAAATGTGATTTGGTCTACATGTAAGAATATAACATAATTTTATCCAAAAAAAAGATACTAAGAGATGGAATTAGTGTTTCAATGAACAAAACATAAACAAACTTTCAACATTCTTGTATCTCTCTTCTGTATCGTGATTGATTGAAGGTCCACAGAGGTACGTTGGGTGCCTTCAGTATTAGGAATATACATATCCAATAAAGATTTGTAATTATATATTCCATAATTTCGATGATGGTGATCATACTCGCTCCGCAGAACAGACCAAGCTGACCTCCGATATCAGCTGAAGAAGAGAAGATATGCATTAAAGTTCTTCTACAAAATACCATGCTATATAAAGAAAAACAAATAACAAGCATTTTGAATCTTCACTATATCTCCTGATCTCTACAAAAAATTAATGTCACCCATTATATAATTACTGTACTTTATTTTTATGGGTAATGTTCCAATACGTTAATGGATAATGTGTGCAATTTCATGTGTGCAAAAATGTCCCTTTCTTTTTAACTAACACGCATGTCACGGAAGTGTATCCATGGTAACTTTTGTTTATGCACACTAGTTTTTCAGGACGCGCAATGATCACGTCATCACGCACTGATACACGCCTTCACCCATGCGCACTGGCACCAAACATGGAATCAGACGGAAACCTTTTCACAGAGATGGGGTAAGTTACACATTTATTGTTACTGTATATATTTGCATCGTTTGACACTATCATTATATTGATAAAGACCCTGAAGGGTTGAAATGTTGATGTAAAGGTGGCGATTAGTAATGTCCCGAGGGTCTGCTGCTGATTGGCTGGAATGTGTCTGCTGACTGTGAGGTACAGGGTCAAAGTTTACTCAATGATGAGTCCGTGGCAAACCGTTCGCGAACCGTTCGGCGAACCGTTCGGGACATCACTAGTGGTGATGTTTTTAAATATATTTTGGAAATCCAAGAGAGTGCTCCTGTTTGCATTTTTGTTTATACTATTGTTGGGAAGCACCCAGGTACAAGTTACTGGTATATATTTTTTTTCAGGTTGAGTGCCAGAGTTTGGACATTTATATATATATATATATATATATATATATATATATATATATACACACACATGTGGAAGCCTAGATGACTTGGAAAATTTCTCCAGATTGGCTACTGTCACCTTGTATGTAAAATCCATATTGATCCAAACGATTCTCACTTTAGTAAATTTCTTTTTTTTTTGGTAAAAAGCCACCATATGTCGATCTCCTGAGAGGATGCTGGACTAGAGTAGAAGCTACTATGCTTTTTCCATTTCAATTGAGCGTCTTTTAAATGTTTATTTTTGTGTATTTTCTTGTTTTTACATTCTCCCTAAATCTAAACAGTAATTAAAAAAATATTTCTAATAAAATGATCACTGTCCCCTTTTCTGTGGGAAATTTTGATAGCCCATTTCATAAAACCATAGAATTATGTTGGGGGTTTTTTGAGCCTCCCTTAGTTGAGTGCAAACTAAGCCTACACTTGCACCAATCCTTTATACGAAAATCCCCTAATGCTAGTTAGACAAGATAGATAAACTGCCTCTGGGTTTGTAGCAAAAACATGCTCCTAGCATTTTCTGACAGTTTTAGCTTAAATAGGTAGAAATTACTAGTTGTTAAGACAGACAATTTTATAAAAAAAAGCACTACTATTAGAGTTCAAAATATTTAGTTATTTTAGTTAGTAGTTTTTGGGATAGATGGTGATTTTAGCCCTATATGGTCAGGAATACATGTTTGTTCCTTTACATGTGGATTCTTGTTGAAACCCTTTATCCTAATGTTATTGTAATCCTATCCCTTTATTTGAAGGACTGGGATCATTCACAAGCACAATATCTCAGAATTTAGTATACGTATACCTATCATGTATTTTTTATGTTTTTCTTAAATGCTGGTAGTGTAAAGGGTAAATCTGTTACACTAACAGGGCTTTTTTTATTATTATTAAGTGAGAATATTTGACAATTCAAAGTAAATTCAAATTAAATGTAACATTTAAAGGGACACTATAGTCACCAGAACAACTACAGCTTAATGTAGTTTTTCTGGTGTGTATAATTATTGCCTCCAGGCATTTTTAAGCAAACATTGCCTCTTCAGAGAAAAGGCAGTGTCTACATTGTCCCTAGGGACACCTCCAAATAACCACTCCTCAGATGGCCACTGGAGGTGCTTCCTGGCTCAGTGCTGCACAGTAAACAGCTCTGCCATTCAGCGTCTCCACGCTCTGCATGGGGACGCTAAATTTTTCTCATAGAGATGCATTGATTAAATGCATCTCTACGAGGAGGTGCTGATTGGTCAAAACTGTGTTTGACCTTGCTCTCTTGCTGATTTCAGCTAATCCAATGCTTTTCCCATGGAAAAACATTGGATTGGCTAAAAATCAGCAATTCTGATGTCACCAAGGGGGCGGAGCTAGCACCAGAGGACCAGCAGGGCGCTGGAATTAAGGTGAGTTTTAATTCCTTCTAAGGGAGGTAAGGGAGGGGCAATCCACCTAAATGGTGGGTTAAACACTATAGGGTCAGGAATTCATGTTTGTTTTCCTGACCCTATAATGTTCCTTTAAGGAACAAATAGCCAAACTGGAAAAATTCTCCAAGTCAGTTAATCCTCCCAGTTTAGATACTTTAGCCTTAAAGTTGAAATAGAGTTGAGTAAGTTCCAAGCACAAAAGCAAGCTTACCTGGGTTCTACCAGGAGACTGTACTGTATCTAGTCTTCTTGTGTAAACAAAGCCAGTTTTCAGCATTCATTCATTGACTGAGGGCATCAGATAAGTGTTCTCAGCCGGTGAAGGAGTTCAATGAGAAGTGGATATCTGTTTTTTTCCAGGCTTGAGATAACCAGATACAGTGTGGATTCCGGGTATAACTCAAGGAAGTGCCTAAATATCTAACCTGCTACATCAGTTTAAAAGATTTTACTGACATACGGAGTGTGCCTTTTACATTTTAACTCAATAGGATTCAACTAGTTTTAGAAAGGACCCTTCTTGTTTAAGAATTACAATTTCCACATGTAAAAAAATGAGGCTTCCACAGAAATTATGTATCAAGAGCAATAGACATTTAAAAAATATGGGATACTCACTCAACAATAGTGTCATTCAGGGAGCAGGATCAAGAAGCAGGTGTCCATATTCACTTGGTCATTGGCTATTGGTTTGCATAATATATCTTATTTGGTAATGTATATGGTAACATGTGTCTCTGGTCTTAACACATCATTTTATGCCATAGAAATATTAATAAGAAAAATATAACTGTAGAAAACTTACACAACAGAACTGATGCACTCAGCGCCTTCTGCTGCGTTGTTATTTTGTAGTTGAGTTCTTGATATTTTATGTCAATATACACCAAATTATTCCTGAATTAAAATAACAAAATAACAAAAAGTGAATATGCATGGTCAGTCTTAGCCTTTACATAATATTTTAATGACATCTCAAAGGGTGAATCCTATATCCAAAATATGTTTATGTCAATGGACAGACAATCCTATAATAATGTATCAAATATTAGTATATGTGGTATGCTGCATAAACTACACTGAGGGTATTGAACTCTACAACAATGCCCTGGACATGGACAGTCCTGTGTGGGGTTTGCCAATGGTATAGCAAGACAGGACATATTCTCTTTTTGCCTCTTATGGCATGATCTTTGACGTGAAAGGCATCACTGACATTCCCCCACCGGCTTGCCTATCTCATCCCACTTTCATGCCTTATGTGCATGCTGTTGCTGATTCTCTTCCCTCAGTAATACAAAAAAATAAGGAATTGTGTCTCCCATGGAGACTCCCTATGTTGACCACCTGGGAGAGAAATTCCATTGGGGGAATGTATGAGTGGTATGTACATTACTGAGGTCGGAAGTACACAGGCCTCCCAACTGTCCCAATTTTGGATGGACAGTCCTGATTATCGGGACTGTCCCCAACAAGCATAGTGCAAGCGCTCACCCTGTACTCAAGGCAATAGGACCTTGCAGAGAGAAGTGAAGCAGTGCTGTCTGCGTGCATTGATGCCATGCTGACCTCACTGGCTCACCTCCTTTCCCCCCCCCCTCCAGCTTCACGGGGTGCCAGAGTAGACCAGGACATGGCCCCTAACAGTGGGACATGAATATGACAGTGGAGAAAAGGATAGGAACAGATAATTGAGGGATGTGGCTGAGTCCAAAGTTAGATGTTTATGGCCTATCCATCCCATGATGTTATGGGCATTTGGGTAAAAAATGGCTGTTTGAGGTATAAATAGGTTAATTTGAGCATGAAGTGTAATTTTTCTTTCTATGTAAGTTGAATATTTTCACATTCTTGTACTGTTGACAGATATAAACAATTATAATTAGTTTAGTAAAAACAAGGTCAGTCAGCCTCAAGGATCTTCTCTTCGTGCATGATAATTAGAATTGCCTTGTAAGAAGCCAAAATCATTTTCTTATCTTATGGAACATGTTTTGTTTTTCTAAGGATTTTGAATTTATACTTGCATATGAAGGTTAACTTTATTTCAGAAACTTTCTCATGTTGCTAAGCTATCTTTTTGTCAAAATTGAATATTGCAAAGATGGCATGGAAAGGTAGTGAATCACCATCCACTCACAGGAGTGCCAATACAATTCTGCATTTGTCACTGACCCTTAGCTCAACACTAGGAGAACATATGGATTGGAATCTATTTCAAACTAGATATTTATTATTAATTTAGAAACATGAAAATATATATATGTTTTATACAGTAAATCGGTAGTAGATTGTATAAAGTAGGTTATATATTGAATCCAGTTGTTCAACAGAGAAATACCTAATAATCCCTGTATGGGAGATATCCCAGTCAGGGGTGGTCAGTGTGAATGGTACCCACCCACTCTGGGCATGAACCCTAATAACGTTAGAAAAGAAAATGGGAGACATCTCCTGAGGAAAGATCCCCATTGGGGTACAAAATGATAAATAGGCCATAACAAAAAATACAACATATAACAATTAATGAGGAAGAGATACTATAGTAGATACCATATAGTGATGGTAGGATGACTATATATCTAATAGGTAAACAAACAGGCTATATTTATTTGTCTAAAATGTATTACCCAGAAACACTCATATCCGTCAATAAATGTCAAAATGTTACTAATGGTATTAGTCTGTTATTTTAACATAATCATCCTCACCTTGCGAGGCTTGCCTTGCCAACAAGTGCGGTAGTGCCATTCAGCGGCCATGGTTTAATAAGTCTGACCCCTGCAGAATGTTAATGGATGCCGGCCACTGCGGATCTACACCAATTAGTAACCCCACATCTGCCCATGGCATGGAGGACGTTGACGTGTTCGTGACGTCACGCAAAAGCCACACACACAAGTTACATAGTTACATAGTTACATAGTTACATAGCTGAAAAGAGACTTGCGTCCATCAAGTTCAGCCTTCCTCAAGTTCTGGGGTCAAAGGCCGGTTACGGGCAATCGGATCCACAAGAGAGGTATTTAAGCTCATCTCTTTCTTTAGCTCATTGCCCTGTCAGGGTTTCCCTTAGTGGTTGTCCGAGAGTGAGTTCCTTTATTTCTGGTTATTGGCTTTGGCTTCGTTTGAGTTCCCTGTATTCTTGTATCCTTGACTTCTGGCTTTCCCTCATCGTTGTGTCTCTTTCTGTGTCCCTGACCTCGGCAAGTATTCTGAATATTCTCTGGTATGTTAAGTCCGGCCATTCTGGCAAGACGTTACCTATTAGTCCTAGGTGTGACACAGTTCTACGTGCTGGATCAACTAGTAATATCATCAACTAGTAAGATCATCTCTTTCTTTAGCTCATTGCCCTGTCAGGGTTTCCCTTAGTGGTTGTCCGAGAGTGAGTTCCTTTATTTCTGGTTATTGGCTTTGGCTTCGTTTGAGTTCCCTGTATTCTTGTATCCTTGACTTCTGGCTTTCCCTCATCGTTGTGTCTCTTTCTGTGTCCCTGACCTCAGCAAGTATTCTGAATATTCTCTGGTATGTTAAGTCCTAGGTGTTACACAGTTCTACGTGCTGGATCAACTAGTAATACTGATAGTTATGGCATAAAGTCTCTCAATTACAAACCGTTATTATATTAATCAATTTCAAATAAGCCATTAGGATATCAGGTCTGGATCGACCTTAGATTAATGGGCTTCTATTGAACCAAAAAATGGAAAAGAATGGTAAAAGGGGAGAGATTCGCTAAGGCATTGACTTGTCCAAATATAAGGTAAGAGGTTGATTTTATAGAGGAATAAAAGGTATATGGCTCTAAGGAAAAACCTAAGCAATATGAGGTAATCAGGCAGTCACCCAATTCAAGCAGTTGGCTATCTTGAATGTAAATATAGTGGCCTAGTTAGTAGAGTGCCATAAGAACTGATATACCGAAGGTATCTAGAGAGTTTTGTCACACAGAGCACTGGATGCTATAGCTCAGTTGCTTTTGTCTGTCCAGGTACACCTCAGTTCTAAACTGTCAGTAAAACTATGGTGCAGAATGGTGTTTAAACACTCACAGCCAGTGGCATACACACAATCCATGGGGCCCCAGTGCGAAACTGATCTGTGCCCCCCCTCCCTATTCCCCCCACTCCGTCCCCCCGACAGATACACACACATACATACATAGAGAAACACACACAGATACATACAGACACATACACACACATACATACATACATATAGGCATGGGGGGCAGCCTATAGATCAGGGAAGCGAGGCATGGGGGGCAGCCTACAGATCAGGGAAGTGAGGCATGGGGGGCAGCCAACAGATCAGGTAAGTGAGGCATGGGGGGAAGCCAATAGATCAGGGAAGTGAGGCATGGGGGGCAGCCTATAGATCAGGGAAGTGAGGGATGGGGTGGAGGCAGCTTATAGATCAGGTAAGTGAGGGATGGGGGAGACCGCCTACAGGAAGGGTCAGCAAGGTGCAGGAAGGTAAAGTAAGAGAAGGAGCAGAAAGGAGAAGAAACAGAAATGAGCAGGAAGGGACATCAAGGAGCAGAAAAGGGCAGCAAGGAGCTGGAAGGGACAGCAAGAAGCACAAAAGGTAAAGTAGGAGAAGGAGCACAAAGGAACAGAAATGAGCAGGAAGGGTCAGCAAGGACCAGGAAGGGTCAGCAAGGAGCTGGAAGGTAAAGCAGCACAAAGGTAAAGTAGAAAGAGCAGAAAGGGTCAGCAAGGAGCTGAAAAGGGCAGCAAGGAGCAGGAAGGGACAGAAGGAGCACAAAGGTAAAGTAGGAGGAGGAGCAGAAGTTAGCAGGAAGGCTCTGCAAGGAGCAGGAAGGGGCAGTAAGGGTCTGAAAGGAGCAGGAAGGGTCTGCAAGGGGCAGGAATGGTCTGCAGGAAGAAGGAAAGGTCTGCAAAGAGCAGAAAGGGACAGAAGGAGCACAAAGGTTAAGGAGTAGAATGAATCACAAGGAGCACAAAGGTAAAGTAGGAGAAGGAGCAGAAATGGTCTGCAAGGAGCAGAAAGGGATCAGAAAGAGAAAGGAGCAGAAGGGTGCAAAATAAACAGAAAGTAGCAGAAAAGTAAAGGAGCAGAAGGAGCCAAGAAGGAGAGAAGACAGTGTCAGAAGAAAAAGAACACTGTGTCAAATGAAGGAGAAGAAAAGGAGATTGGAGCAGGAAGGACAAGTGAAATGAACCCCCCACTTTATTCTGGACACCACATCATAAGGCTTTGGTACCTGGACCTGGCAGGGAAACTTTGGACCTTCTCATCTCCCCAGGTAAAAAAAATATCAGTGTTAATGCGTTCACTTTTATTTACTGAGTGTCAGGAAGCACAGAGTGCCGCTGGGTAGGGGTGTCGCTGATTGGCTAGAGTGGTCAGCTGGCACTCTAAGCCAATAGAAATCCAAATAAGTGTATGCTGCCAGCTATTTGTTTTATTGCACTTGATAAAGCCTTAATGGGGCACAACGCATTGTGTTTTTATATTTTGTTAAATAAAAGTAATTTCCTTTGATTACCTGTACATTTGGGTCAATCTTTATACTTTTATTTTTATTCTATTTATCCCTGTCATGTCCTACCATCTGAAGCACAAGAGCCATCACTTAAAAACTCCTAGGTGGGGATTGTTCCACCCACGCCTGGCACATAGAGCAGTTTGTCTGCTCTTTAAATTCTAAGTATATTTCTTATTACTTCCTGTACTTACACATATAGAAACCACTGTGGGCCTTCTCCCCTTCTTTTATTACATATGACCTACACTGCAACTACCATCAGAGGATATCCTACAAGTGGGGAGTTTAAATACCACTGTACGCTGTTTTACCTAGAGCTGGTTATAGCTCTTTTAAATGTAAGTTGGCACTTTTTAACCTCAGTGTTGTCTGTAGCCATATTTATCACCTATATTGCACCATTGGTCCCCTCTGTTTTTCTTTTTTGTTCTCATATGCTGCTGATGATTTGACCCAAGACGTCACATGAACACTTGAAGATTACTGATATCTAGTGACTCTTATTGCTTGCTTTTGGTACCTTTGTATTGTATTTATTAAAGTTGTTTATCTGTTTTATTTGGCACACCCTGTATCCCTTAGTCTGTCTCTCCAGTATCCTTGAAGGGTTTGAGGGTTACCCTTCCTTTCATGAGTGCAGCCTCCTCTCTTATTGTGATCAGTTTTGTAGTGCTGTTCCACCCTTTTTTTTCATTTTTGGCTACTATATTATATTTATTGGTACCTCCAACAAATGCAATACATACATACAATACACACACACACAGACTGCTAACTACACACACAGATTACTGAATACACACATACACACAGACTACTGAATACACAAGCACACACAGCTGAATACACACACAAAGAATGCTGAATACACACAGACTGCTGAATATACACATGGGTGCTGTGTGGGATGGGGGTGCTGTGTGTGAGGGGTGCTGTGTGTGAGGGGTGCTGTGTGTGAGGGGTGCTGTGCATGAGAGGTATGTGTTTGAGAGGTGCTGTGTGGGGTTTTGTGTGTGTGAGAGGTGCTGTGTGTTTGAGAGATGCTGTGCGGAGTGTTGTGTGTGTGTGAGTGGAATGCTGAGTGTGTGAGGGGTGCTGTGTGTGTGTGAGAGGTGCTGTGTGTTTGAGAGGTGCTGTGTGGAGTGTTGTGTGTGTGTGAGAGGGGTGCTGAGTGTGTGAGGGGTGCTGTGTGTATGCTTTTTAAGGGTGCTGTGTCAGTGAGAGAGGTTATGTGTGTATGGGGTGGTGTGTGTGTGTGTGTGTGTTTGAGAGGTGCAGGCAGAAAATGTATTTATTTATTTTTTTGTAAATGATACTATACATTAATAAAATTTTCATGCCCTCCCCTTTCTTCTTACCTTTGGTGAAGGAGGGGGGGACACAGCCAGCCCTGGTGGTCCGGTGGTGGTGAGTTTTCTGTAGCGCGCGCAGAATGCTGTGTCGGAGCATTGCAATGGTAATGCCCAGCAACGCTCCACACAGCCTGCTTGCGGGAAGAGTGATCTGCCTCCCAGGTTCCTCTCCCTGCCTCCAGGTCCTCCCTCTCTCTCCCCAAACGAAAGGCCTTTGGGCCTGTGAGGGAGATCTTTGATCTCCTGACCGACCTGAGTGGGCCACAGCAACTGATCAGGGCCACAGCAACTGATCAAAGGATCTCCCCTGTCGGCCTGGGCACATGGGCAGCACGGTGGGGCCCTGATACAAAGCGTAATCTCTACCTATTCATAATCCATAGCTGCTTTTCAGCAGCACTGTACATTTGAATTGTGTAGGATTCAGTGTAGTACAGGAAGCAGGGCCAGATTAAGAGCCCAGTGGGCCTGGTGCTGACAATTATGACGGGCCTAATTACAGAATCATATCCACCAAAAACAGTAAAACACTCCCAAGCATCATGTATCTGATGGAGATGGTGCTGGAGAGAGAGAAAACAGCAGCTATACGAAAACACATACCCTATGCCAATCTCTCTCTAATTTATGTTTTCATCTTTCAAGTAAATCCATAACCCCTAACAGCAGTGTCCAGTCAAGCAGGAAGTCAATGGGCACGGTAAAAGGGTGTGCCACTGACACAAATCACATAACCTGCCAAAAGGGGCAAACATGCCCAAAAAGAGGACATGTCTGCTCAAAGAATTAGAAGGCCAGCCTGGCATGAATGCATGTCAGGCTGCCTGCCAATCATGCAGCTGGCCAACTAAGGGCGTACTATACAGACAGCACCCTGAGCTTGGCATAAATGCATCTAATGATGCACTCACTCAACGCTTTCTAAGGACTGTCCCCTAGCACTCGCTGGTCCACTTGTCTCCTTACTTTCCTACTAGCAGGCAGAAGCTCCTGGTATATGGTCTGGGACAGAGAAAAGCTGTATGTAGTGAGTGTAGAAGAAAGGGAACATGCCACAGTGTTAGAGAGACCAAAGTCAGCATTACCTTAAAGAATCACTATAGGGTCAGGAACACAAACATGAATTCATGCATCTCCTTATATAGATGAATTTAATTAATGAATCTCTATGAGGAAAGTTCAGTGTCTGCATGCAGAGGGAGGAGACACTGAATGTTTGGATGCATTTTAGGCAGCCATGACCCTGGAAGGATCTCTAACAGTCATCTAAGGAGTGGCCAGTGAAGTTATCACTAGGATGTAATGTAAAGACTGCATTTTCTCTGAAAAGACAATGTTTACAGCAAAAAGCCTGACAGTAATGATTCTACTCACCAGAACAAATTCAATAAGCTGTAGTTGTTCTGGTGACTATAGTGTCCCTTTAACTATATTCATTGTCAGCCAGTCCACACAAGTTTTGTTCCCATACATCCCACTTAAGTTTCCATACTTAAGTAAGAGTATGTGAAAAGTAGTTAGGGTTGCCACCTTTCTTGGAAAAACAATTTGCATAATTAAATATGTATGGGTGACATCACATGATGTAAATCACAAGGAGTGACATAAGAGAAAATGCTGTAAAATCACCAAAAACTACTTAGTTTGATTCTGCTGTATAGATGGATTCCTCCCAGTGCCCCCATGTCTCCCAGTGCCCTCATGACTCAGTGCCCCCATGTGTCAATTACTCCAGGTCTCAGTGTTCCCATGTATCAGTGCCCCATGTCTCCCAGTGTCCCCTAGTGTCCTGTCCCCAGATCTCTCAGTGCTCCTATGTATCACAGTGTCTCAATTCCCCATGTCTCCCTGTGTCCCCATGTATCCCAGGGTCCCCATGTCACTAGGACATTAGGAAGATGGGGAGACCTGGGGACACGGGGAGACCTAGGGACACGGAGACACCAGTGACACTGGGAGACTAGGGGACTCTGGCTGGGACACATGGGGACAATGGGAAAATAGGGGACACTTTAAGACATGGGGACACAGACACCAGGGACACAGACACTAGAGACACTGGCTTAGTGTCTCAGTGTCTGCCATAATGTCTCCCAGTGTCCCTTAGTGTCCCAGTGTCTGCCATAATGTCTCCCAGTACCCCTTAGTGTCTCAGTGTCTGCCATAATGTCTCTCAATGTCCCTTAGTGTCTCAGTGTCTGCCATAATGTCTCCCAGTGTCTGCCATAATGTCTCTCAGTGTCCCTTAGTGTCCCAGTGTCTGCCACAATGTCTCCCAGTGCCCTTTAGTGTCTCAGTGTCTGCCATAATGTCTCCCAATGTCCCTTAGTGTCCCAGTGTCTGCCATAATGTCTCTCAATGTCCCTTAGTGTCTGTGTCTGCCATAATGTCTCCCAATGTCCCTGAGTGTCTCAGTGTCCCCATGTCTCCTTGCAGCCTTTCCCCCCATCCCTCACTTCCCTGAGCTGTAGGCTGTCTCTGCAGGGTGGGAGTTGCCGTCTGGACTCTCTGTAGCTGCACCCCTGCAGATCAGTGAGTATAGATAGGCAGGGAGAGATATGCTGAAACTTCCTATCCCTGCCTGTGTCCACACACAGCGACCCCTACTGGCCAGTGCTGGTATTGCATAGTAATCTCTTGTTTATACTGATAAAAATACCAGCATTTGTATTGCCAGTATCACTGCAATATTGGCACCAGCCAGGCAGCCTCAAATACTGGCTGTGCCAATAAAATAAAAGCCAGGTGGAATCCCTAAGAGTAGTGTGTGAAAAAAAGAAAAATGTAAAAAAAAAAAATTATTATTTTAAAAAAAAATTTTTTTTTTAAATCAATGGGCCTATTCCATGGGCCTGGGCCTGGAGCTGCAGCTCCATCAGCCCCTATGTTAATCCGGCCCTGACAGGAAGTCTCAATAGGGCAGTGCATTTGCAGAAAGTAAAATGGAGTTTTTTTGTTTTTTTTAGCTAGAATTCTAACCTGTACATCTATGGAGTTGGGAAGGAAAGTGTTAATAATAATAATTCTACATGTCAACCATTTTTTATTTTGTTGATGAAGCGTTTCTTTACAAGAAACAGAACTGCTTCAAAGTTTTTGTTTACACTATGCATTAGCGATATATACTTTGTGAACTATCTATTTTATCTAGGAAACGGCAAATACTGTTTTCTTCCAGAATGTTCATATTTGAAATCAATAGACAGGTCATCTGGAATATATCAGTTAATGTTGGCTGACAGGTCTACCCGAGTTATGTTGCTTAAACACATAGCGACAAAGCTATGTTTTATGCATTAACTTGTTTGACTTTGTAACAATTTAGACTTCCTTTGTTTGCAGATAATAAAGCCGCCAACCTTAGACAATTAAAGAGATCTCCTGCATATTTATTAATATTTTGCAATCAATATATGGACAACAGTAATAGGAGAAATAAGGGCAGCAACAGAAGCATTTTCACATTAAACTGAGCTGATGTTCTAAAGATATAGTACCTCATGTACGTAGTGTTTTTGCCCAGTTTTGTAGAGAGGTATTCAGCAGCTTTTTCACTTGGAAATGTCGAATAGGAAATTGTAGCAGGGTAGTCTGTCTCTTCACAAGGCACGGGGCAGGTAGAATTGTAAGTACCTACTGTACATATGTTAAATTTTTCGATTCTATCTGTAAAAGGACAGCAATCAAAAAAATATTTGAACAAAATAAAACATCAAAGCCGACCTGTCATTTTTATTGACTAATAAAACACCCTGTAAAAAAACCCAAAAAAAACCACTTTTTAAATAAATTAGACTGTTGTTTTAATGTTTTTTTTCCAAAAATCACCCAATTTTAAAGTTATCACTATGCACAGGATGAGGTAGAGGCAAATTAAATGCCTGCACAAACTCTTAGAAGCAATTAGAAAATAGATCAGTGCTGCAACAACTCCACACTGTGGTTTCACCAGCGTATACTCAGCAAAAATAGGGGAATGATTAGCCAGTATCAGAGTGCACACCCTGCACCCATGCTAATGTCCTTTATAGAGGGCTATTGCATTGGACATTTGCATTGAAAAAGGGCTATTGCCCGAAACTTTTGCATTTTGTACTTTGTCCTTACAAAAAAATTGGTTGCACCAGTGTTTGCACTCTGATACTAGTTGAGCATGACTCCATTTTTTTTCCTATTTTGCCCAATTTTAAAGTTATTTGTAAAATAAATTATGGACAATTTATTACATCCATGCAACTGACATACTGAATTAAAGACTTAGGATGCTTTTTAAAAAAAATTCTTTATTTTTACAGTGCATTTGAAGGTAACAGACGCATGTGAGGTATCCCAATGGCAGTCCACTTGCGTTATTGAGACATATGTAACAGTAGGGTAGTCGAGTATGCATGCATGTATGCACTTTTTATATTTAAACAGGTAGTAGTATTCACAAGCAATATTCAACAGCTATAGCCAGCATGAACTGCGATGTGTAGGTTATCAAGCATAAGACATTGTCTATTTTCAGGCTGTTACATACTGGAATATATATTAAATTACAAGGTCTGTAGCTTAACAGAGATTATCATTAACTTTATATACCACCAGGTGGGATATCATCTACCGAGCTGTATTTATCAATAGGCAGTGAACACATGCAAATTTATCTGGTGGTGTGATGAACAGAATGTTGAGCAAAATGGTCCTGAGCAGCTTGTCAGAGTATAATAGTCAAGCTCACAGGCTAATTTTACCCTCCGCTTATGTGTAGCCTTTAACTTGCCCTTAGTCTTGCCTGCTAAAGGGATTAACTAGTTGAGGCCCTTTACAGAAGGAGGCTTATGGGCTATGAGCCCAGCAGGGAACAAATAGATATGTAACTTGAAGAACAACAAGGAAAAAGAATATGAAAAATCAAACTAAAGAGCATATATAAAAGCTTGTTCATAGATGGGTAACATGAGTGGAGTCACTTATCCTAAAGAGTAGTCGGGTGAGGTACTCCTCATATATTATGCTTCGGCAATTTGGTGTCAGACAGTTTCCGCTCGTGGGTACTTCACCCAATGCCTCGGCTGGGCACAGCTTGGGGGTTGCTGCTAGATCCGCTGGCGGTGGCATCTGTGCAGCAGTATGTCTTGACAGTCCGAGAGCCCCATATCACTAGAGAGGCAGGCATCCTGGAATCACAGGCTCTGAAGTCCGCGAGGTCGGAGTCCTTTCCCCGAAGTGTACAGCAGAGGATCGGTGCAGACTGTCGTCTGCGTTGGGGTCTCCGCTTGCATGGGCGATGCTTTGAGGGGTAACCCCTAGCTGCCTTCCGCCAAGGAAGGTGAGTATTAAAGGAACACTATAGTCACCTAAATTACTTTAGCTAAATAAAGCAGTTTTAGTTTATAGATCATTCCCCTGCAATTTCACTGCTCAATTCACTGTCATTTAGGAGTTAAATCACTTTGTTTCTGTTTATGCAGCCCTAGCCACACCTCCCCTGGCTATGATTGACAGAGCCTGCATGAAAAAAAACTGGTTTCACTTTCAAACAGATGTAATTTACCTTAAATAATTGTATCTCAATCTCTAAATTGAACTTTAATCACATACAGGAGGCTCTTGCAGGGTCTGGCAAGCTATTAACATAGCAGGGGATAAGAAAATCTTAATTAAACAGAATAGGGCTCTCTTTACAGGAAGTGTTTATGGAAGGCTGTGCAAGTCACATGCAGGGAGGTGTGACTAGGGTTCATAAACAAAGGGATTTAACTCCTAAATGGCAGAGGATTGAGCAGTGAGGCTGCAGGGGTATGTTCTATACACCAAAACTGCTTCATTAAGCTAAAGTTGTTCAGGTGACTATAGTGTCCCTTTAAGGGGAGCGGCTGCTTGTACTTGAGTTGTACCCCTGGGGACGCCAACTCCACTCTGCGCTCTGGTCCCACAGTCTCCAGTGTGTGGACTCTGCCTTGGTGGTGCCATTCACGCCTCAAGTGTTGCCCAGAAACGCTGGAAAATGGCATCCAACCTCTGCAGACAGGTGTCGACTGGGCAGCTTTGATTCTGCTTTGTCTGTGTCTAAGTGGGTCTTCGCTGGAGTTCCTCTGCCATTTTGTTAGCAGAAGGTGAGGCAGGAGCGGCAAGTCGTGTGTTCTGACTCAGAGGTCGGTGCCGGGGGGGGGGACCTGGATGTCCCAGATCACTCCAAGGGGGGGGGGGAACGGGTCTCAGCTGCCACACAGCCCGCGGGACTCCACCGAGGAGGTCGGCCATCACACACAGGATCGTGGCTCCGCTTTCATGGGTCGCGAGATTACTCCGTGTGGTGCCCGAGGTGTTCGGGGTTGACTTAGGTAAGATGCAGAGTCACTGGCACCTCAAGATCAACAATATTTTGTGGCATAGGGCAGTTTAAGCGAGGATCCCTCTTCCCATACGACCGCTTGGCACCGACTTAGGATGCTTTTTATGACATTGGATGATATGTTAGATCATATTTGTTCATGTACTGATAAAGAACATATACTCGCCAAAACAGAATACTATGAGAACATTTAGAAAAGTCATAATGGTTGCCCTTTGGTTAGTCCCTGATTTTTAGCTGACATCAGCTATTAGACTTGTTCACTGATTCAATCCATAAGGGCAGTCTAGAACTAAAAATGTTAGCAGGCTCACTCTGCACAAGATATTCATTAACTGGGTCACATCAATAAAGTGTGACCGATAATCCCCTATGCACAGTAAGCAATAGGACCATGTCTGGACCCACACTTTTAGCTTAGGGAGGCTCTAATTATATAATAGATCAGCTCAGGTCTCAAACAAGCTTTAGCTTACATGTCCCTTACATAGGTAAACTATACCATTTCTATTTTAGACCAATCACACCCACAAAATCTGTCTAAACTAAAATGCTGGCAGTGTGATAGAGACATTATGGACATATTATGTATATCAACAAGGAAAAAAGCAGACACATTTACAGGTTGTAAATTACATGCATTACATTTTTTATTTTATTTTTATTTTTTTTTAAGTGGAAAATTGACCCACTTAAATAGATACAAATATATTTATGTTGGCAAAGGTCTTTGCAAAAACTTATTCTGGAGGTGAAGAACCTGTGAAGACTTGGAATCCCACTCACCAAAATGCTTAGTTAAACCCATGTGAACTAGGAGGAATTATAGCAAAAGGTACATTGTGCATTAAAGGGACCCTATAGTCACCAGAACAACTACAGCTTAATGTAGTTGTTCTGGTTAGTATAATCATTCTTTGCAGTCATTTTCATGAAAACACTGCCTTTTCAGAGAAAAGGCTTAAAGGCATTGTTTACATTGCCCCCAAGGGACACCTCCAGATGGCTACTGGAGGTGCTTCCTGGGGCAGTGCAGTATAGTAGGGAGCACTGCCGTTCAATATCTCCACGCTCTGCATGGAGACGCTGAATTTTCCTCATAGAGATGCATTGATTCACCCCATCCCGTCTCTTGCCGATTTCAGCCTATCCAATGCATTGCATTGGCTAAAAATCATAAATTCTGATGATGTCTCCAAGGAGGCAGATCAGAGGCGGGTCCAGTGGCGGAAGACCCACGCGGCACTGGAAATAAGGTGAGTTTTACTCCCTTCTAAGAGGCTAAGGGGGGGCAAGCCACCTAAATGGTGCATTTGTATTACTGATCCTATAGTGTTCCTTTAAATTCTTACTAAAGTGAAAAGTAAACTAAAAATACTATAGGAAATGTTTTGGCATCATGCTTACTTACAAAGTGCTGTAGAAACACAATTGTACAACTGCTGTAAGTCACATTCTTTTCCAATACCTGTTGAGAAAATAAAGAGCATGTGATAATATATAAACATGGCTGGACACACACGGGTTGTAGCTGGGATCGGGCCTGTCACTCCAGGTGGCTCACTTGCCCTGTCGACCCCTACTGATTGGCTGAACTGACCCACTCAGATACTGGGAAATTTCTCCAGTATAACTTCAAGGCCAGTGTACGGCTGTATAGGCCCAGGGCATGCAGTCGCTGGGTGACTGGCACACAGCACAGTGCTCCCCATCCTGCCAGTCACTGCATGTAGCGTGGCCAAGCGAAAAGCTGTCTGACAGTGAGTGCTTACTAAGAGCACACAGCACTTCGTGTCAGAACTGGTACCACTGTGAAGGAGAAAAAAAAGGGGGGCATAGATGCTGTAGTAGGGACATGGAGGGTTAGTGGTGGAGTGGGAGGGGCTGTTGTGGTGAGGATAGTGGCAGTGGGTGGGATAGTGGCCGTGATGGGGGGATATTGTCAAGGGGTCATACCCTAACTTACAGGTAATGATGAATCTCACAAATAGAAATTCTAATATAGTGTCACTGGAATCGCAGGAAAGAGGAAACCCACAAAAGGTGGATCCAAAAGATGTATTACTGAACCTTAGAATGGCTGGACTTAATGTATTAATACAACAAGAAACAGGGTCAAGATAAATCAAGGACAGGATAACAGAAATATTTAGAGTCAAGACAAAGCCGGGTCAGGATACCAGAAATCATGAGTCAAATACCAAGCTGAGGTCAAGATACTAAAAATCACAAGTATCTAACAGAAACCACAGTAGGGCAATGAATGGGGGCTAAAACAAGCCTTGAATAGGCTTACCTTTGTTCTGATATGTCCACGTCATCACTGAGATCCAAAACAGATTAGGATCACAATGATGACGTAGTGGACGTGATGTCACTCCACATCTATTTATAGATGTCCTGCCGCACGGCTGTGTGGTCTGGCCAGACTGCACGTCAGGAGGAGGTCTGCACGGCTTGGGTTAGGTAAGTAATGCCACATTATCCCCCTGGCCATAGGCTATGTAAAACAGGCTGAACCCAGAGGATTCATTTTGCGAGCAATCTTAGCCCAAGAAAGCAGGTCGACCCAATCATCTTGGTGATGTGAAACGAAACAACTTATATACTGCTCAAGAGACTGGTTGGCACATTCGGCAGCTCCATTAGTCTGAGGATGGTAAGCAGAGGAAAAGGACCATTCAATACCCATCTGTGAAGAAAATAGACTTATTGTCGACATTTTCTTCTTAATTTGTGAATTTCTGCAATATTTTGTTTATTTTGGATTTATTGGTTCGGTAGTTTAAAACTACCGAACACCGACCACCCTCCTGGCTCATTAACTTCAAAAGAGAACCGTCTATTAAGCGCTCTCTGGGCGGCCGCCGTTCGTATAGCTGAATGCCACGTGGAACAGAAAACGGCGGCCATCTTGTTTGCACGAAAGGAGGCAGAGGGACTTGGTCGTCGAGTGTCTGGAACTAGAATCGGACACTCGACTTCCCGAACCACTCTGAACACTTCAACGGCACACTTAAGCAAATGCTCACAGCGTTCACAGAGGCCTACAGTCACTGGGAGAAATTTCTGCCCCATCTCCTGTTTGCATACCGGGAAGTGCCCCAGGCGTCCACCGGGTTCTCCCCCTTCAAACTCCTATACGGGAGAAAAGTTTGGGGGAAAAGTTCGGGGAAGCACTGGGAAAGCAACACAGGAGAGGAAGGCATACCAGTCCTACCATACGTACTGGAGTTCCGAGACCGATTACAGGCTCTGACCGACTCAGTTCGGGAGAACCTGCAAGCGGCTCAGAAGCGACAGAAATGGTGGTACAACAAAGGGGCATGAGATCGGGTCCTGGAAGTAGGGCAAAAGGTATTGGCCCTCAGACATTCCAAAAAGGACAAGCTCCAGGTAGCTTGGCAAGGGCTATTTAAGGTGGTGGACCGAATCAGCGACACCACCTATATTGTAGCAAAGTGTTCAGATGAAAGGATCAGACAAGTCTTTTATGTGAACATGTTGAAACTGTACTTTGAACGCCCTGAGGACGTGGCGGCCATCTGCGCCCCGTCCACAGATGATAGTGAGGGACTTCCCTTACCCAACCTGCTGACAGCGAACCAAGGCACCTTAGAGCAGGTCGCTTTGGGGGAAAAGTTAGATCCTACACAGAAGGCAGACACACAAAAACTGCTCCAGGAATACGGGAGATTGTTCTCCGCCCTACCCGGGTACACCACGGCCACAGTCCATCGGGTGGAGACACAGGGTGAAACCCCCTTGTGGCAGCAACCTTACTGTATTCCAGCAGCAGTGCGGGCCAGCATGTGGAAGGAAATACAAGAAATTTCTAGAGGTCATTGAGGCTTCCCAAAGTCCCTGGGCATCCCCAGTAGTTCTAGTGCCGAAGCGAGACGGTACGACTCGTTTCTGTATTGACTACCGGAAACTAAACGACCAGACTATAACCTACGCCTAATCCATGCCCCGCATCGACAAACCCAACTACCTTAGACTTGTGCACGGGTTATTGGCAGATCCCACTAGACTCTGCCGCCATACCTAAGTCGGCATTTGTAACCCCATTCGGGCTATACCAATTTCGGGTTATGCCCTTTGGGATGAAGAATGCTCCGGCCACCTTCCAACGGACTGACTTCTGGAGTGAATGCCGGACTTCGCATGTGCCTACCTGGATGATATTTCTATCTATAGCGGCACATGGGAAGCCCACCTGACACACTTGGCTCCGGTATTTGGGAGATTACAGGAGGCAGGGATCACCCTAAAACCCGGAAATGTCATGTGGGAATGGCGGAGGTTCAGTACCTAGGACATAGAGTTGGGTCCGGGAAATAGCGCCCTGAACCTGCCAAAGTAGAAGCCATAGCCCACTGGCCCCAGCCCCGCACCAAGATACAAGTGTTGGCATTCTTAGGCACCGCAGGGTATTACCGGAAATTCGTCCCCGACGACTAGTGCCCTGGCCAAACCCCTCACCGACTTAACCAAAAGGCCTTGCCCAAGCAGGTAGCGTGGTCCCCGGAGTGTGCAGCAGCCTTCCAGAAACTTAAAACCGCCTTAAGAGAGGCTCCAGTATTGGTGGCCCCAGGCCCTACTAAAACTTTTCTCGTCCACACAGATGCCTCCATGTTTGGGCTGGGAGCCGTGCGGAGCCAAGTGGGGGAAGATGGAATGGAGCACCCGGTGGCATATATCAGTCGCAAGCTACTACTTCGAGAAGTCAACTATGCCACTGCGGAGAAGGAGTGCCTGGCACTAGTATGGGCACTAAAGAAGCGCCAACCATATCTTTATGGCCGTGCATTTACTCTACTTACTGACCATAATCCCCTCATTTGGCTCAACCTAGTATCTGGAGACAATCCCCGGTTGCTTCGCTGGAGCTTAGCGTTGCAACCCTACAATTTTACATTTCAATACCGCCAAACCGACTTGGATATATAACTGTGTTACCCGGTCATCCCCGAGCCAACCCGGCAGGGTCTAGGCAGGTATGCCAACCCATGGAACTAAGGGGGGAGTATTGTGAAGAAAATAGACTTATTGTCGACATTTTCTTCTTAATTCGTGAATTTCTGCAATATTTCGTTTATTTTGGATTTATTGGTTCGGTAGTTTAAAACTACCGAACACCGACCACCCTCCTGGCTCATTAACTTCAAAAGAGAACTGCCTATTAAGCGCTCTCTGGGCGGCTGCCGTTCGTATAGCCAAATGCCACGTGGAACAGAAAACGGCGGCCATCTTGTTTGCACGGAGGGACTTGGTCGTCGAGTGTCTGGAACTAAAATCGGACACTCGCCTTCCCGAACCACCGCTGAAACATACGAACGCCTGCTTCCTTTTGTTGCCGAACAGCTAGGAGAGCGACATTCGGTAGTTTGCTTCATACGAACAAGGGGAGCAATCGCTCCTATGAGCCAGGATGCTCCATTCGTGTCTTTATTCGTTTTTATGACATTTTCTGAATTGACCGACCGCACACACTGAATTTGTGGAACTGTTTTGGGCAGGAGCCTCGTGTGCGGTAGGTAAACTAAGACGTCCACACTTTTTGAGATCCTCTGAACCGATCTGGGTGAAATTTGAATATGTTGGTCTCCCAGATCGGGGCTATCAGGGGACATGTAATTTGTGGGGATACCTTGTGTGTAAATGGGTGTTCTAAGTTTTGGTGAAATTGTGTGCTCTCTGCCTGGAGATAATTGGGTTATTCCTTAACTTATCTCAGAATCTCCCAGGCAGAGAGAGGGAGTGTTTTACTGTTAATCGGTACGATGATTGGTTGTTCCTTTTGTTTACTGTGGGAGGTCCTCTTGCAGGAGGATTTCCATTAAAGCCAGTGTAGCATCAATAAAACATTATTCCTGTTACACCCTTCATTGTAGCAGTACTTACCCTCTCCAGGGGCCGTCTGAGGTCCTCTGTTAACGCCGTGCGCGGTCCTGCATCTGCACGAGCCGTGTTCGGCTCGTCCGACGAAGAAATCAGGAAGGCGTGCAGTGACTCACCTGGCTCTGGGAGCGTGCCATGTGTCTCTGGCGCGCTCTTAAAGGGACAGTGGGAGCCGAAATGTAAAACGGTCTCCCATTGGCCCATGTCATTCCACATTCCCCATACACTTACGTTTTGGGGGCGTGGATATGACAGGGGCCAATCAAATTGAACACTAGGGTATTTATACTCACCTTCCCCTTAGCTCCCTGCCCTATCGTGGTTTCTGATTCAGTTCCCTTTAGTGCTTGTATCGTTCAGTAGTGTTTTTTTCGTGCTTGACCTTGGCTTTGTACCTGACTCCGTTTTTCTCTTTATCCCTGCTTTGTCTTGTTTGCCGGCTTCCTGACTCCTGTGTACCAGACCTTGGCTAGTTCTTGTTTTCGCTGTCTCTCTGTTCCCTTGATCTCGGCTCATTCCTGATTCTGTCACTTCTCTGTTGACTCCGGCCATTCTAAGGCCCGGTAAGACGTATCTTCTTTATCTTGTTGGACTAAATCTTGCGTGTTGGGGTACACTACCGTGACATTCATGAAGTCTAGGCTCATGCTTGGGGAATATTTTATTTGCTGGGGAGAATCATCTTGGATGCTGCATTCATCTACACCCTAACTGCAGTTATAATCACTTATACTCAGCTATTGGGAAAGGAATAGAAGACCTCAGCACCATAACCACTGAAGGTCTTAACACCATCTCCGAGCAAAAGGCCCTCCAGAAGCGAGGAACAAATTGACTACCCGTGTCAGATACGATTTGTTCCAGTATGCTGTGTAGACAGAATACCTCTCTGGTGAAAATCCTAGCCAATTCAGCAGAGATGGGGAGTTTCCTCAGGAGTATGACATGTGCCATCTTAGAAAACCTATCTATGACCATAAGTATGACAGTATGTCCACTGGAAAGGGGTAGTACTACAATAAAATTGATAGACAAGTTGGACCGGGGTTTAGTGGCACCCAGTGAATGGTCTTGCTGGCTGCACAATTGTCACAAGCAAGCACATTGTCCTTTGTGGCCTTCTTTAGGGAAGGCCACCAGAAGTCACGAGTTATAAGGTTGGTGGTCTTGGATATACCTGGATGTCCGGCAGGTTTGCTTTCATGACATAAACACATAACTTCCTGTTTAACAGTAAAGGTAACAAGGGGTAATCACTAGGCTTGTCTTCAGGGGACGCAGATTGAGTAGCTATGACGCAACTCAACAATGAAGAGGATATGGAAAGGACCGTCTATGATTCTTTCCAGGGGAATGATAAAACGCTTCTCCTCTTCACTCACATTGAATTGCCTGGACAAAGCATCGCCTTTTCCATTGCATGCTCCAAGTCTATAAGTGATTATACAATTAAATCTGGACAAGAAGAGGGACCATCTCATCTGCCTTGAATTTAGCAGTTTAGCTTCTCCAAGGTACAAGAGGTTCAATACCATGATAGGATCTTGGGAACCCTCTAGGACATGTCTCCACTCCTTCAAGGCTACGATAATGGCCAATAGTTCTCTATTGTCAATATCATAGTTCCATTCTGCCTGTGAGAGCTTCCTAGAGAAGAAACCACATGGGTGCAAAGGTTGGTCAGGGGACAAACGCTGGGAAAGAATAGCTCCTACTCCTACCTCAGAAGCAACTACTTCCAATACAAAAAGAAGTTAAGGGTCAAGATGTCTGAGGATAGGAACGGAAACAAAAGCTTTTTTCAGGCTCTCAAAGGCTTCCCTTGCCTCAGCGGACCAAACATAGTGGCTCGCAGTCTTTTTAGGAAGGTTTGTGATTGGGGCAATAATGGTAGAGAAATTCTTTATAAACCTCCTATAATTGTTGGTGAACCCTATCCCTATGAATCTTTGGAAAGGTTTTAATCCCTGAGGCAAAAGCCACTCAACAATGTCTGACAACTTCTTGGGATCCATACTGAATCCAGAGGTCGAAATGACATAACCCAAAAAATGGACTTCTGTTTCATCAAACAAACACTTATCCAGTTTACAATTAAGACCATTGTCAAGACATGTTTGTAAGACCTTGCAGACGTGTACGTGATGTGTACTTAGGTCAGGGGAATATATCAGAATATCATCTAAGTACACTATCACAAACGAATGTATGAATTCTCTGAGGACGTCATTGATAAAATCTTGGGAAACCGTTGGAGCATTACATAGGCCTAAAAGGCATGACTGCATATTCATAATGCCAACTTCTGGTGTTAAAAGCGGTTTTCCATTCATGCCTCTCTTTTATGCCAACCGAGTTGTATGCACCCCTCAGATCGAGCTTGGTAAAGACAGAGGCCCCTTTTAAGCTGTCAAAAAGCACCGTGATAAGGGGAGTAGGATACACGTTTTTGATCGTGATCTTATTTAAGCCTCTATATTCTATGCAGGGGTGTAGATCTCCATTTTTTTGGATACAAAAAAGAAACCAGCGCCAGTCAGAGAGAAAGATCTACGAATAAAACCCTTCGCTAATGAATCTCCAATATACTCCTCCATGATGGTACTCTCCTGGGAAGACAAGAGATAAACCCTAAAACACCTTTAGATGGCATAGTACCAGGAAGGAGATCTATGGCAAAATCATAAGGCCTATGAGGTGGTAATCTGTTACCTCCTTCTTATCAAACACTGCTTTCCGGTGTACATAAGGAGATGGTATGTCTGTAGACAGTGGTGGGGCAGTAGGAATTAATGAGACAAACAGGAGTGACCTTTTGTATAGACTATACAATTTGCTGGCGCTATATAAATAATAATAATCATGCATCAATGGCAAAAGATCTTTCAAGTTTTTCACTCTTTAGCACACAGCTCCAAACAACTCGAGGTAGACTTAAAGCTGCTCACCAGATAGTACCGCACACCAGACAAACTACACAGATGGAACCCCTCCATACCCGATGTGTGCTGGTGATGTGGTACTGACAAAGGGCACTGGTATAAGGCTGCGCGTAAAGTGCCCCCACCCACTTCCTCCATACCAGACCAAATCCAAATCCCGGCAAGACCCCCTCCAGAAAGGACCAGTCCACCCGTACAAATGCCTTTTTGACATCTGTGGAGAGAAACACAGATGGGGTCCTGGCATGCCCTGCTTTAAACAGTATGTTGACCACCCTGTTAGTGTTTTATTTTGCTTCTCTAGTGGGGATGCAGCCCATCTGATCAGGATGGACTAACCCCCCTACGGGCGGTCCCAGTTTGCGGGCCAGTATTGCCATGAATTGTTTCAGGTTGCAATTTGATAAAGAAATTGGGCGGTAGCTGCCACAGACTTCTGGGTCCTTACCCAGCTTTGCAATAAGGGTGGTGTACGCTTCTAGAGTCTGGGGAGGGGCCCCCTCTTTGTCTAGGAATGAATTAAATGCTTTGAAGAAGTATGTAGTCAGTGGTGAGTGAAACTGTTTATAGTATCGGGAGGTGAAGCTGCCTGGTCCGGGTTTTTGTTTAAAGGATTCTATCGGTCTGTCTAGAGTGGCCGAATCCGTTGGGCTCAGGTGTTTAGATGTGTGAGTCCTGATGTATGTGTCTAGTGGGCGGTTTAGAATATTTTGTGATGAACCATTATTAACACAACCTTTAACTGGTAACCAACACCAATATTCCATAAAACCCTATAAGTGATAAAGGCTTTTCTTTTCAGTTCTGTAAAGCTTTCCCAATTATGAACCTTGTGCACGATTTATTAAATAGAGCATGTGATGTAAGATGTTTAAACATACTAAGATATATGTATTAAAATATAGCTTGAATTTACTGAAATTAGAACTTTACTGAATAAATACCTGGTAAGAGAAATGGAACACACCCACATTCATTTTTTATGAAGCGGGATTTGCACTCTTGTAAGCATCCATATGTACTGTAAACCTCGTGATACTCCAAGTTTAGATAAGGGTTGCATTCACCCCAAGGGTGTTCCTGAATAACTGTCTTCAGAAATAAAAAGAAACAGAAAATTCTTAGAATTTTAACATTATGTTTACGTATCCCTATATTTAACAAATATGTTTATATGAGGTGTGAAAAATAAAATTATATATAGAAATAAACACCACTTTATTCTACCAATAGGCACCTCCATTTTATCTCCCTGTCATATTGCATATTATTTCTTGAGAACTTTTTTTTTTTAAGCTGGCTTTATGATGCATGCAAAATGGCATTGATAAAATTAAACTAAGTTCACATTGACCTAAAACAGAGGGAGGCAACCTTCGGTAGTCCACAATGTCTGGAGTGCCAAAGATTGCCTAGCCTGACTTAACATAAGATCCTACTTAATTTATAAAACACTTTTGGTTACAGCTGGCAAATACCTGCATTCACAAATGGCAGATGTACACACAGACAGACAAACAAATAGTAAATATAACTGACTGCCTATGATTATTAATTGCTACACATTTTAAATGGTATTACCTTCAAATGCTGTATTGAAACATGCCCGTGCATCCCCACAGGACTATATACACCTTGGCCATCAAACTTTGGACGAATATTTGCAGAATGTATTACAAATGTAATTCCAGCATCAACGTAACCCAGAGAAGGTTCATCTGTGAATTCAGACTAAGTGAAACACATTATATAATGATGTCGAACTTTATAATTACATTCTACAAAAAGTTAACAAAAATTGCATTTAGTGAATGCTTTCTCTAATTGTTCTAATACTCTAAAAGCCCTAATCTTAATTCATTCAAATATAGGTTTTGGAAAGAATCACTGTTTTTCTAAAGAATTTAATTTTGGCCATGTTAGTGTGATTATGGCAACTCACAAAAACATTTAACATGTACATTGACTTGCAAAGTCCTTTTATAGTAAATAAGATTTTATTGAGAAGTGAAATAACACAAAGAATAATAGGAAATCTAAACAAACAATAATTACATCGGAATTAATAATATAATGTGTTCAAAAATTGGCAAAACAACCATCAATGAGGTAGGTTAGTTAGTCACCCTTTGATTTTATGCACCACCTATGACGTCACAGAGGCCGCACGCTCTCATGAGGGGAAAGAGAGGGAGGTTGTTTTTTATAGTTAACAAAAGTCGTGAAGGGAGGGTTGTGGGGGAGAGCTAATTTTCCCTTAGCAGGCACTCTGTCTGCTCTACTTTTGCTGTCAGCATGAGAGCTGATAACAGAGGTAAAATATGCACAGAATTGACATTGACAGTCTGGAGTTCTAGACTGCCAAAGTCGCATGTGCTGAGGATGCAACTAGACCCAGGCACACAAGTGCAAATATCTCAGTAGTGCAGTGTGCACGCCGGCTAAGTAACGCGTCGCAGGCTGCGCTGTAAAACCGCCAGGGCCGCATTGAAGGGGCCCATCGGGTAGCCCATGCTATTAGGACCAACCAATGGCAATGTATTTCCAGGGAGAACGGTCAACGCTGTGGCACTTTAACAACGCAACTGGGCCTCCTGTGATGACATCAGAGCTGGGAGGAAGTGATTGCCTCGGTCACTCCTCCCAGCTTACACCGGGAGCCGCACGGGAGGAAGGAGAGGCGGGTGTCAGAGTGGTAACTCTGACTCTCATCAGGCTGAGCCACAGGACCCCAGGAAACTTTACCCTCCTGCTCCTAAAAGGTAGGAAACAGGAAGGTGACTAAACTATTTTGTTTATGTGTCTGTATATGTGTGTGTTTGTATGTTGCATCTCCATCTCTGTTCTTCAGGCCTGACTTCACACTTACAGTAACAACAATAGTGAAGCTCTGCAATTTTTCTATAATAAGGCAGTAAAAGCCTTCTAATTTGGTTGTCTTGGCTCAGTGTGGGAGAAAAATGCTAGTTAAAACTCGGTGGAGAAAGGCCCTTAAAGGGACACTATAGTCACCTGAACAACTTTAGCTTAATGAAGCAGTTTTGGTGTATAGAACATGCCCCTGCAGCCTCACTGCTCAATCCTCTGCCATTTAGGAGTTAAATCCCTTTGTTTATGAACCCTAGTCACACCTCCCTGCATGTGACTTGCACAGCCTTCCATAAACACTTCCTGTAAAGAGAGCCCTATTTAAGCTTTCTTTATTGCAAGTTCTGTTTAATTAAGATTTTCTTATCCCCTGCTATGTTAATAGCTTGCTAGACCCTGCAAGAGCCTCCTGTATGTGATTAAAGTTCAATTTAGAGATTGACATACAATTATTTAAGGTAAATTACATATGTTTGAAAGTGAATCCAGTTTTTTTTTTCATGCAGGCTCTGTCAATCATAGCCAGGGGAGGTGTGGCTAGGGCTGCATAAACAGAAACAAAGTGATTTAACTCCTAAATGACAGTGAATTGAGCAGTGAAATTGCAGTGGAATGATCTATACACTAAAACTGCTTTATTTAGCTAAAGTAATTTAGGTGACTATAGTGTTCCTTTAATTGTTTTATCTGTTAAACATCATAAATATTGTAACAGCTATAGTTTGTTGCAGTGACAAGGGGCATCACTACTACTACTACTTTTAAGAGAATAGCAGGTTGCCAAGTTGATGCCTTGTATAAGATATGGGCTCCTCCTGCTGAAAGACTTACAACCACTGATGTAGCTATGAAACAATGCACACTGCAAGTTGAATGTCAAGGTGAACATTGCCCACAAATTATATGGAAATACTATAGGTATTATTAGCAGTGCTATTTATATAAATATATATTTAAAAAAAATGAAAATATATTGTAATACTCAATTACTCTGTTAAAATACCTGTTTTATGTCAAAGAGTACACTTAGACCACTTCCTGGTGTGCTGGCCTTTTTGTTTAACGAGCCCTCATCATGATTAAATGTATAGCAGTTGCCATACTCTGTGAAAATATGTTCAAAGTCCTTTAAGACAAAAAGCAAAATAAACCAATAAACAAATAAGCCTTACAGGTAGCTAAGACAGTGTTCTTTAATCAGATGGAATACAATAGGAGACGTGGCTTATTATTAACAATACAGTACTTAATTTGGTGGATTTTGGAAAGATTTTGAGTGCCAGCTATGTTTTAACTCCACAAAGGCAGTTTTATATTGTACCACAATTAAAACACCATACAAAATACATGGTAATACATATTTAAAGAGGCAGAATGATCATTGCAAAAATAAAATAAAATTAAAATAATGACCATGGCATTTAAGGGGGAACTGTCACTTTTATTTAAAGTACACAACTGAATAAAACATCAAAAATCACTCGTAACATGTTAGCTTTTTTCATGACATTCTCAGTTTTTTCTTAAATGTATATTAAGAATTTAGCAAATGGAAGCAAAATCCATTTCAGACAAGGCAAAGCCAGAGCAAGCCTGGCAAATGAAGAAGAGAACAGAAACATTGTCTTGCACTGTCCCCTTAATCTTATAATGTAAAAACATTCACCCATTGTACAGTGCTACGGAATCTGATGGCGCTATATAAATAATAAAATAATATATAATAATAATAATTGCAGTTTCGGAGAAACCAGAAAGAGGCGATTCCTACATTTATATGGGGTTTAACGATGCTGGGATGAAGTCCAGTGTCTTCAAATCTCCCACATGTTCATTAGTTTCCCCCTCTGCAATAATGTCAAAGGAGGCGGAGACAGAGTCTGCGCCGAAGTAACTTCAGCGCTGGAATGTGGAAAATGTTTAAAGGGTTTTTTAATTCCCTTGGGGGGATGGGGGAGGAGCGGCAGAGAGACATTGTAGTGTTTGGAATACAGCTTTGTATTCCTAACTCAATAGTGTTCCTTTAACTATAGGAAGAAGTAATCGTAATAAAAATCCTGGAAAGTGAAAGCCCCCCTTTAAATATTTAAGAGAACAATATAAACAATTATAAAGTAAGTAAAGTAAGTTACTGTACCTCTGCATAACATGGGACACCAAAATAGCTGCATTTTAACAGCGTACTCTTATTTAGATAAAATCCATAATTCCTGGTAAACTCCTTAATGCTGAAGTTTTGGTTGCGTTGCAGGAAATCGATTACCTCTTGCAAATGATTTTCCTCTGCATCAATGCTTGTTGAGAGGAGAACTGCAGACACAACATTCCACATAAAAAATGCAATACTGAGGTTGTTTACTGCTTTGGTTTGGAATCTAGAATTGGGTATTTAAAAGACACATATGTTTTACTGAATACAAAGAAGTGATTAAATGAATAGATAAAAAATTTAAATTTTGTATAACATTTTGGAAATACACTGAGGTTAAAAAAAAAATAATAAAAGACATACTTTATGAAAGGTACTTTAAGTAATCCAACCGTAGTTTTACTACTTGTCCCTACCAGAAGTTGATCTGTTTACAAAACAGTGAGTTCCTTTGAGCTGAGAAGCCCTTTGCAAATTTCTGACCGAAATATAAAACATGGAGAAACTTTAATTCCCTGGTGTAATTACAATTCACTATTATATTGCGTTCCTCCAATGGAAACTCAGTAACAAGGTTGTTTTTATGGAATTCTGTCTTCCTCATAGAATCAAGCAGATTCTATGAGATGTATAACAAACTCTTATGTTCAAGAAAGAATAGAGTCACATTAACAAGACACTAATCTCATATAGATTATTAGGAGGTCCTAGATATCTACATTATCCCTTTGTTGTTTCTTAGAAAGTGAGGTTGTGTTAAAGATGTAGCAATAAGCAGAAATTCAAGCAGTAGAGACTAGTGATGTTTAAAAATTTTGGCGCACTAGACTCTATCTCTGAAATTGGCATCATCTCCCTAACTTGGTGGACTCAGCTTATTTAACCCCATATACTCAACCCCTGACCCAAAAAGAGTTCCTACCCTGTTCAACACCATAGAATGATAGACATATGTTTATATATTTTTTTATTATTAAATCATTTTAAAAGTTTATCCAAAAATATTAAATCATTTGAAAAGCTTATCCAGCAATATTAAATTGAGGCCATACTTGGTTGCTAGCCTCGCAGCAGCATCTTCAGCTATCAATAATGGAAGCGGGATGAAACAGCAGAACTCATGACTAATTTTCGTATTTGCAATAAAAACTGGGAGAGGGGGCAGTATGTCCCTTAAGGAGCAACCTCCACTGAATACAAGTTTAGATGAGATCTTTCTGAAACACAAGTGCTCAGATCCTACTTTCTAAAATATATAGCTTAAATTCAAATTATAGGAATCTATATCGACCTAGAGCCAAAGTAAAAGCTTGTTTAAAGAACAAGCTTGTAATAGTGTTCTATGCACATTTATTAGATTTGTCCATATTGGTAAGTGTCTTATAGGAGCAACAATTTTGGAGAATTCTCTTTAAATATTTGTGAATTCCATGAACTGGTGTACTAATTTTTGAAGGCTATTTTCATTCTCCTGTGACTTTTAGTTTCTCCAGCCTTATAATCAAGATATCATTAGAGGTTGTTATTATTAACAACATGTCCTAAGAATCCTGAAATATGCTTGTTCAAATCATATTCTTTGATATTTTACCTATTGTCTATAATCAGTAGAGAGGCATGACAAAGCTACATAATTTTCACAAGTGATTATTATTCCAGCATCAAAGATGGATTGCACAACATTTCAACTGAAACAAACATTGCCAAATCCTATTCTCCTTAAAGGGATACTGTACAAAGTTGTATTCCTGGCACTATCGCTTCCCCTGCCTCCCCCTACCTCACGTCTGTGACGGATGCCTGGCACCCCGACCGGGTACCTCTGCCAATCGCTGATTCCTAGTAATCCTTGAGTACCATAAGAACCGCACCGGACACCATAACCACCCATAAACCCCACAAACTGCCGCAACTTGGTTGGGGTCTCGCTGTCCTCCACCCACCCTGGACCCAAGACCAGGATCCAACTACCAGTGAGTAGACCTCTCCAAGTCCAGAGAACAAAGCAGGATAGTTCTTACAAGAGCTAGTGATTATAATCCCAGGGAGTATAAGGAGTACAGCAATCCACAGAGTGTGAATGTAGCTCCCAATCACCCAAAAATGAGCCTAGACTTCATGAAGGGATAAGACATTCTGTTTATTGGTGAGCCACACACAGCCTTTTATGTCAGTCCCCATGCAAGGGGTTTCCTCAAACATATTCCAGGGGCATTCCCCACTAGACCCGAGAGTAGACTACAGCAAAAACATACACATGATTACATTGGCTCTCAGATCCAGGACACTCCCACACCTGGGAGATAATTGAGTCAGGAACTATACTAAACTCAATTATCTCCAGGCACAGAAAACATACATTTTTATAAAACCACAAAAATACCTTTAAACACACAAAACCCCACAAACGTTACATCTCCTGATAGCCCCGATCTGGATGACTAACATATCCCAAAATTACCCAGGTTGGTTCTGTCAGGATTACAAGTTGATCCAGCATGCAGTACTGTGTCATACCTAGGACTAAGGATAATGTATAACCGGACCTTAGAATGGCCGGACTTCTCCTAGAATAGTCAAAATACTTGCCGAGGTCAGGGACACAGAATCAGACATAAAGATGAGGGAAAGCCAAAAGTCAAGGATACCAGATATCAGGGAAGTCAAAACAAAGCCAAAGTCAAATACCAGAAAATCAGGATCAGGAACGCACTCTCGGATAACCATAGGTATGAAACCACGACAGGGCAATGAGCAAGAGGAGAGTTGGATTTAAATATCCCTCCTGTGGATCTGATCCAGTAACCGGCCTTTGACCCCAAAGGCAATTACCAGGTTTCCATGTGCATGATTGCTGCTCAGCACAAACCCTCCTGTGGATTTGATTGGCCATGACCGGCCTTTGACCCCAAAAGTAATTCCATGTGCATGATTGCTGTGCGGCACAACTTTTCCTGTCAGGACATAATGTTGCTCGGCACAACTTCTCCTGTCAGGACAGTAAATGACATTAACCACATTCTTATGTGCGGATGAATAAGTGACAACTTCAGGGGTTTGGGAATTTCCTGGACGTCATAATTTGACCGACCGCACGGTCCCATGCCCAGAACAGTTCCAGAGAATCAGGGCTTGCGGTCGGTCTAGTTCGGTAGCTTAAAAACTGAACAAACTAACGGACATAGTCAATGTTCTTACCCTAGAGCTTGTTCACCTTGTTCGTGGGAACAGGGCCCTTCTAAGTTGTGTAGAACCGAGCGCAGGTGATCCTGGAAGTCCAGCGGTGTTTGGGTGATTCAGTTCCATTAACTCGATGACCAAACACCGCTGTCACCTCGTGGTCATTCATGCGAACAGCGGCCACCCAGATGAACACTTAGAACACTGCGGTGGAAAGTGTTACAAATTAGCAATTAGGCTTAACAAGCTCCTGGGTGGTCTCTGGTTCGTGCGCCTGTTCGGTTCCTGAACCAAATATAAAACCAAGTCTGTTCACATAGGTTTTAAAGGGCCCATAGTCTTTTGGCAGGAGGCTGGCAAGCAGGCCCCTCCAAGTACCCATGACAAGATTTAAACATTGCAGTTTCTTTGGAAAAGAAACACTGCACCCAGACCACTTCAATGAGCTGAAGTGGTCTGGGTGCCTACAAATTCCCTTTAAGACCAACTGATCAACTTTTTTTCACATTGATACAATCCAAGTTTATGAAGTCAGATTATATTTTTTCAGAATATATTTTTTACAAATTATATATAAATTATATAAATAAATTAGTTTACAAATTATGACCTGGCATGATGGCATGACGGGTGCAAAAGTTCTTACCACTTGATCACAACTAAAGCGGCTCTGTCAACTTCTGTGCATTTCATAAAAATAAATTATTTAAAAGATACTACATAACAAGCTTCATCAACATCCCCCTCTCCCCAGGTATTAAAGGGTTAAAAATCTTTTATTTACTTATCTTTTCCCAGTGCCAATGTCCCTTGACATTGAGCGGGAGGACATCCAGCATCAGATACCGGGCCAAAGGCCCATTTCAACTCAGGTAGACAGCCACTGAGGGAAGACTTAGTGCTGCAATGTAAACATTGCAGTTTATTTGAGCTGAAGTGAGCTGAGCTAAAGTGGTCTGGGTGCCTACAGTGTCCCTTTAAGATCAACTGATCACCTTTTTTTTTTTATATTTATACAGTCAAAGTTTATGAAGTCATTTTATATTTTTTATAAATATATCAAATTTTTTTTTTACATATTATAACCTGGCATGATGAATAAGCTTCCTAAACTGACCTAGAGTGTGCAACAGCTCTTACGACTTGATCACGACTAAAGCGGCTCTGCCAACTTCTGTGCATTTAATAAAAATAAATTATTTAAAGATACTACATAACAAATTAAAAACTACTTTCTCTTGTGTGCCAAGCTTCATTGACAGACAATGGTAATTCTGCCATGAACTGCTATCATTTCCTGGCAGCTATTGCTAGCACCAGCTGTGGGAAAAAAAACTTCTTGCACATTAGGGTGCCCTGCACAATCCTTAATTGACCTCTAAGCTTTAGTCTTGTGTATGTGTGAGAACACAGCACTGACAAAATAAGAAAGTTGATGGTGTCCAGGAGAGAGAAATTTAGGTAAGTGTATCTTCATTTGGCTTCTTCCTCCAGCTATCCAACATAAAGTGAGCATGTCACATTGAGGGTCTTTGCAAAATATGAAAAACATTTCCAAAAGAGACTGAGTTGTTTAAAGAAGAACAACTTTAGAGCAGTGTTCTCCACCACTTGATCTAATTCTTGAATATAAACAAGTTGAAAGAAAATAAAAATACAGATAAGTTAATGATTTTTTGAGGTTCAAGTCTTACCTGTTTAAATTGCAAAACGACACAGATGGGAATTCAATATTTTCAACGTATTGCACTGTTACTGAAGTGGTTGTGGGCCAGCTGTAAAAATTAATAAATCGCATGCAAACTTGCCAAAAGGCCACGATGATGAAAACTGTAACAACAGACACCCATGCAATCTTACGGATTGTGCTTTTTACTCCGGAATTGCCGTTGTTTACAAGATTATGGACGCCATGAAATGAAGTTGTAAGGGCAAAATCATGATGGTATTTCTTCTGCTCATCCTTTGATGGAACAGCATGTGCTCTAAGGTAGTCTTTTATTTTACACCAAAGTGCTGCATCAGGGAAATTAAAGAAAATGAATATATTTATATCTCTATAAATTCAGATAAATGTAGAAATATTATTAGAGGACATTATGAATCAGAAGCATAAAAGGCAGCAAATAAAGTAAAACATTTCATTTGAACACTATGCGTTATCTTTTAAAATGTGCCTTTTATTCTATGAAATGCTCCAATAATGGTACATTTCTGGACAACAAAAAAAATTACATTAGCAATTACCTAGTGATCAGTGAAACAGATCTTCAGTTCTACTTCTAAAATCATAGGAATGTAAAATTCATTGTCAGCAACATGACTATTGGCTAGCACAATGTCTTATTCAGTTATAGTGAACTCTGGTGTGTTGACAAAATAAAATTTTCCACACAGGTGAGAGTGAATGGACCAACATTTAAAAATTGAAGTTTCTAAAGTAAGTGACAACCCCTCACTCCTTCCTTGAGTGACATACTCTTGTTTTTACATGTAATCAATAATGTGGACTTATACTGGACCTTCTCCAATGCAAACATGTATAGCAGTGAGAGACTCCTCACCTATTGACACTGACCTCATGGTCGCCATAGCAGTTTGCCTGAGACACATTGAGCCGATCTAGGCTGATCAGCTCCCAGGTGGTGGTTACAATAAAATAGCTTGTACTGGTATTTACATACCACATATGTATTTCATGTTTTATGGATGGTGTATTTCAGCCAGGACATGGGGATGTCTGCTTCTCCCTGGCCATATTTTACGAATTTGGTACTGGGTATTTCAAATAACAGGGTTATTAACTAAAGTGAGAATTAAAAGTGAATTCAAAAGTAGGGCTTGACCCAGTTATCTGATCCTGAACCCATTCCAAAATAATAGTTTGCAATGATTGATACAGGACAAGCAGCTTTGCTTAATGTATGGGAGAACAGACTTTATTTATTTGCTTTCCTTACAAATACCCATAAGTAGGGTGTTTGCACGTTATATATTTTTTCTTTTTGCCATACCAAATAAATGTGACAAACTTAGTTTTGTCTTTATATGCTAAGATTTCAGAGTCATTTAGAAATATAGTATTATCTCAACATTTTACTGTAATACTGTGAAAATACTGCTAAGAAAAATATTTAAGGATTTAAAAACATTTAAAGAAATGAAAAAAAACAGTGTGCTAGCTACTCAAAAAAAATGTTTAAACAAAGCATTGTGGTTGTTTGTTTGTTGATGGGGTTCAAATATAAAACTTGGAATGTATGCTTTGTAGAATAAAACTGTGCAACAACATCACTGCAACAGCTCATACACTTATTTTTATATCATGAATTACTCCAGAATGTTTGGTTTTACAGAACATAGTTAACATAGTAACACAGTTATGAAATTCTCCAACTTATTTTCTCCAATGTATTTTCCAACAGCTGAACCAGATTTTTATGCCTGGTGCCTCGAGACACCAAAAAAGCAGATAAAGAGAGTTTAACCCATTTATTAAACTTATACATATATAGCATATAGTATTTATTTATAGTATAAATAATGTATATAAGAGAGTTAGAGTCTGAGTTCGATTATATAAGGTGTTTAGTGGTAAGACAATTAAAAGCTCGAGAGAGGTTTTAGTAGTTGTGTAGTAGTTGTTTGGAATTTTTGAGTTTAGAGTTAGAGTTTGGTAAATTTAGTATTGGGATACATGGGTTGTTTGGTTTTTAAGAGAAGGTAAACCGATCATTAGAGTATTTTTTGTTGTTGTTTGTGGTTTTTAAAGTTTAGGCTTTGAGAGGTATCGTATAAAGTTAGTTTAATAAATTTATGTACCCACATCATACATGACAATTGCCACTTTCTTATGTCTATATATGTGCATATTCCTGCTTGCAATGTATTGTGTTTGCATCTGTATAATATATGTGTAAATGCATGCATATATATCAATATAACAATATGCCCAGGACATACTTGAAAACAAGAGAAATCTCAATGTATCCTTCCTGGTAAAATATTTTATAAATAAATATAAGACCATTGTTAGGATTAGAGAACCATCTTTTTACTTTTATAACAACATCAATGCATTCATCCTGCTAAAACACTTTCTAAGTGAAATTATAATAAATTAACTAGAAATAAATAGAATAAAATAAATAGTTAGTATTTATAACAATGATGTTAGAATACCCAAGAAAAGAATATACAAGTGTAAATTATGTAATATAAATCAAATGCAAAGATATGTATAAGTAATCAGGTTTGTCTGCTAGTTAGAGTAACCAACAGCTTTTTTTTTTTTTAAATCTGTCTGTTAACAAATATTAGAAAATATCAATACTAAACAGCTTTATATTGTATACATCCAATGCATTGTACATACCATTCTTCTCAGAGGTGCTAGGCTTGACTTGTGAGTCCATTGTATAGACAGAGAGTAATGAGTTTCATATGTTCAGATAAAGATTTTATGGCAAGACTAGTGGGTGGTGAGATTACAGTTCATACATAATACTGCAATTAGCCTGCCTGTGTTGCTAAGCTCTACATATAACTGAGTCACACATCTAAATACTTTAGTAAATTAAATTCTCGTGATATAGTTGCAACAAACTCCATTCTCTGGTATTCACTTGTCTGTACCCCCTTGTTCGTCCCCCCAAAGGACAGTGCGTGGTCCCCTCTTTTTATACCCCTTCGAACACTGACCTTCCCTGGCAGTTAACCACAAATTGGTGATTAACTTGAGTGCTTCCCTGTGGGCAGGCAGCGGTAACTGGTCGTCGGAAGCCTGGAACTATTTTCGGCCTTGCGTCTCCACGAACTCGGGCAAAGATGGTACCGCTGCCTGTCCCACTTCCCAACCAACTAGACGAACAGAGTTCAGGAGATAGGATTTACCTAACAGGGGGAGCATCTGCTCCCTAACAGCCAGGGGGAGCATTTGTCGGTGCTCGTGTGGGAACCCCCATAAGATGTCCGGTCGTTGCCTTGTTTTCTATGAAACTATTTTGGGGCATCACCTCGTAGCTGACCGGTTAAAACTTCATTCGAATGGCGTTCCCGATCCACCAAAGGGATCTGAGCACTAGATCCAAGCTATTCAGTGATATGACTTTCGTGGGGTGGGGTTCCTATGCTATTAAAATGTATTTTTATGATGATTTGTAATATTGTATATGTTTTTCTGTATCTGGGAGATAATTGAGTTATAGTTTTATCACTCAATTATCTCTCAGAAGCAGAGGCTGCTGGGAGGAAAATCCTTGAATTTTAGATGTGGAGACACCATGCATAAAAGTCATTTTGTGTGGGCAGAATAAAATGAGTTGTACTCCCAGAACTTTGTGTCGTCCAGTTTCTGGGGAGGAGGTGGGCTATTCACTTGGCTATTTCTTGTTCCTGAGTTCCTAAATTCCAGATCATAGCAGAGGGAGTCCTGGTCAGGACTAAGGCTCTGCTACAATAGTATACTTATGTTAAGTGAACGTATGTAAATGCACACCGTCTGTGACTCTGCGTACTATGTGTCCAACCACAGACTTCTGATTGCCGCGACTTGTTTCTTGCAGGTACCGCAACTCTGAGCCCCAAAGCCTCTTCCTAATAACTCCTTTCTTCGTTCCTACATAACTTCTGATAACTTCACTGATTCTAACCTCGGCTTTGGTAATGGAATACTTCTCTTGCTTACTCCCTGGATGGATTCTCAAAAATGACTTGGATTGTTAAAAAACTTTGATATCAGTTTGTTCCCTTTAATGGATTCTGCAAACTGACCCGAATAGTTAAAAAAACTTCAATTTCAGGTTGCTCCTTTGGATGGATTCTTCAAACTGACCCAGATTGGTAAGATACTTTGATTTCAGGTTGCACCCCTGGATGAATTCTCCAAACTGACCCAGATTGGTAAAAGATTTCGATTTTAGGTTGTTCCCTTGGCTTCTCCAAACTGACCCGGATTGTTAAAAGACTTTGATTTCAGGTAACTCCCTTGGATAGATTCTCCTAACTGATCCGGATTGTTAAAAGACTTTGATTTCAGCTTGCTCCCTCCAATTAATCCTCCAAACTGACCCAAATTGTTAAAAGGCTTTTATTCTCCAAACTCACCCAGACTGCTATAAGGATTTGCTTTTGATTTCTCCCTTGAAAAGATTACTCTTATTGTTATATGTCCATACACATCTGGACTGAGCTTCTTCCCCTCAGCTATAATAACCTCTAAGGAAATAATGTACATGTTTTCATCGATTTATTTGTACTTGGTTTATTTTGACACTAAAACCAACCCCATGGTTATTATAATAATCCCTACCCAGCATGCCCCTGCCTGTTTATTAATAAATGTTAGCGCCCCTTTTACACAAACTGTGGAGTGCTGAACTATCTTTCTTAAGTCACCAGCAGAAGAAACTGAATGATATCTATATAGAAGAAAGCATTGCAGATCCAGGACCACACACAGCTCTGTAGAGCTAACCAGATTCTAGACAAGAAGCAGAGCCGAATTACACTTTAGGTGACCATAAGGGCTGTGCTAGAGGCTCGGGCCCTTGGTGTGAGGGGGCCATCCTCGAGCTGGCATGGAGATCCTTGCCCTGTGCCTTCCAACTTTGTAAGAGAGCTTTGGGGTTTGTACCAACATCAGGTACAGACCACTTTCACTTCTCAATGACTCAGAGCACTGGAGCCGATGCTCTAAGTCAGTGACTGACTAAAAGGCCTGTAACGGATATCTTAATTGATTCTTCAGGTCTGTGCCTGATATTGGTGCAGACAAAACTTACACAAACACAGCTTTTAGATTCCTTATACACCAGTGGCAGGTAACTCCAGATGTTGTAGACTGCATCTGTCATGATTCTCTTACAGCCAAAATGCTGTCAAAGCATCAGGAGAGATAAATGTGGAGTGCCAAAGGTTGCATTCCCAAACATACACTCAAATAATTCAGCCACCCCACATGCAACACTTGGTCAGCACACAGACACAATCAGTACCAGCCCCCATACAGTTCTCATCCTCCTCCATACACACAACACTCAGCCAATACACACACTCTCACACAGTCAGTCATCACACTCCTCTCACAGAAATAGAGCCCAGGGCTCTAGAAGAGGGGCCCAATCTGCCTCTTGCTTTGACTAGAAGCAGTGGCTGTATCCAGATACGTTATCAAACCGTACTAAAACTGGTTACAGTGGCTATGTTATTATGTTGCAAAAAGTATTGTTTTGCTTGCAATGTATTGAGTTTTTACAAGATATACTCTTAAACTTTTCATTAAAAAATAGCTTTTTAGTTTTGTTCTCCTAATCCCCACTAATAGCATGTTTCCTTATAAGGCTCACCTTCTTAGGTGTAAACAACGTGGCTACAGGCCAGAGGTGAAACATCCGATTCACATTACTAGAAAAAGATGAAGTTGAATAGACCCGGCTGACCTATTATGTTAGACAATAATTGGCAAATTGTGGTATTCGTTGTCAAAAGTAGCCCCTTCTTTGGGACTCGAACACTTATGAAGAATTTATTTAAATAAATCAGCATTTATTCCTCAGCTGCTATTCCCACGCTCACTCTCTTAAAGGGACATTCTAAACACCACAAATACTCCTTTTCTGAGAAATTGTACATTTGTCATAGGAAAAGCTTCTACTGGGTGTCAGACTGACATTCCCTCCTTAACACCTTTGAAAACGTAAGGTCTTTACGTTTGGCATCATCATGCAAACACATCTGACACTTTTTTCAGAGAGAAGCATTGGATTCAATACTACTCTATGAGAAACATTTGATTGACTGAGTGAGGTGATTGACACTCATGCCCATTATGTCATGAGTCCTTCTCTATGAGAACAAAATCATCAGAACTGATGATTTCATCAGAGTCAGTGTGGTGCAGAGAGGCAGCTGTCCTGTTACTGGATTAGAGTTAGGTATTAAGATGGTTTGTACCTCAATTTTATATTATGCATTATGGTTTGGGATTAGACAGGTATACTCATAACTTGGAAGTGTAACCTTAAAGGGACACTCCAGTGCCAGGAAAAGTCCCCTCTCCCTCCCACCACCCATCCCAAGTTGCTAAAGGGGTGAAAACCCCTTCAGTGACTTACCTGAGACCACCACCGATGTCCCTCGGCGGTGGTTTAGGGGCCGCCGGCGGGATGAGACCTAATGCACGTGCGCGGCATTATTAGACCACTCCATAGGAAAGCATTGAAAATGCTTTCAATGCTTTCCTATGGGGATTTTAGCGACGCTGAAGGTCCTCACATAGCGTGAGGACGTCCAGCGACGCTATAGCACAGAAAACCTGTGCTATAGACCATTAGAGGTGGAGTTAACCCTGCAAGGTAAATATAGCAGTTTATTAAAACTGCAATATTTACAGTTGCAGGGTTAAGGGTAGTGGGAGCTGGCACCCAGACTACTCCAATGGGCAGAAGTGGTCTGGGTGCCTGGAGTGTCCCTTTAAAGTACATTTTTAATAAGATTTATGCTACATGTTAACATTTACACCTTACGTACAGACAAAGAGTGAATACACCCCAAGTAGGGGGGACTTAATGCTGGTATATAAAGGGGGAGGGGTCCACACAGAGAGAAGGTTAGCTCCTAACGAATGTGTAGCTTTATGCACCAAAACGGGCATCGTGTCCTCTTATCTTCACCTTATGGAGCACTTGAAACACTAATGCACTCACTGGGTGTTTAGCACCTTTTTCTTTTAGATTTGTTTGTGGTAGCTGACTGGAGCTGAGGTATTGATCTAGTAGAGATGAGGTATTAGGATAGAACTCCCATGAAGGTGTTTTTTTTTAGGAGAGGCAGGGACTAGTAGCAAGGACATCTAACACCTATGATTTTTGGCTGCTCTTTATGGATGTTTGCCCCCCTCTTTCCTTCCCCCTGCCCCTATAAGTGTCTCATTATCGACTGTTAAAGGGGAAAGGATTCCTGCAATACTTAAGTTGCTTTAGTAGATATGAGTGATTACCGAACTCATTCAACTTGCACCTGAAATACTATTCACAGCAACTTCATTTTAGAATATCTCCTAGATTCAGGCTACACCCTTGTTGCCCTCCTGTCTCCTGTTTTTATAGTTGCTCTATGATATAACTACTTGCTTCACTGTTTAGTGAACTTCCTTTGACCAACCTATCCTGTCACCTGGTCTCAGCAGTAATTATAAGGCTTGGTTTAGCCATATTACATACAGCTGCATTCTCAGACTAATAGACAAGGATAGGATCTGGTGTTGTTATATACGTATACATAACAACTATTTTTGTTCCCCAGCTATATATCAATTTGTATCATATTTTTCCTGTTTTACCTAATATAGTGTTTATCTACTGGATACATTTTGTACAAATAAAGCTGTGGGGATTTGTCTTACTGCCTCACAAGACTCAAATCCCCCTTTTATATACAAGCATTGAGTCCCCCCCTTGCTTGGGGTGTATTCACTCTTTGTCTGCACGTATAATTTTTTTTAGGGTCCAAGCCCTTTGGTGGAGCTGGTACCATCACACTGACCTCTATGTCCCTAGCCCAACAAGTTTGGATTAGGCGACATAGTCTCCTTTCTGCTTTGAATTGATAATATTTATACCTTGATTGTGTTTTGAATATATTTTTAAAATGAATAGGTAAAATTAAAAGGATGATTTTAGCTGTATCTTATTGGCACCCACTTATCCTACCTATCGAATAACCTTTGCTTTGTATTTGAGGAAAATGATCATTAACGCAGGAAAACACTAGGGGGCAGCAGATACTTTATTGCCTTCATTTAGAAGAACTGATTCTTGGTTGTGTGCATTTCCTCTGCTTGCTGTCATGTGACTCTGTTGTTCAAAGATCAGCGTGTTGGAGGATTTTGAGTTGCATTACACATTTTGGGGTAGGTATGTTCTAATTTCATGGGAATCTGCAAACTATTATTCCAAAACTACTGCTGAAATGAATGCACTCATAACAAGACGATTAGCATTGTTACATAGTGTTACTAACTCAATACATTCTGCTGCAATGTGGAGAGATCTTTACAAATCACACAATGCAGAGAGCCCTGTTTACTTCTGCTTACAATATGACAATATACAGTAGTAGAAGTGGTACAGGGCCATTTATTTAAACTCAGAAATGTAACCAATTAAAAACTAAATGCAAAATGTAAGTTAAAATACCGGAGTTGGAAACTCTGCTATAGTTACAGTCAGAATTTCACGAGTACACCTGTCAGTCTTCAAATTCTGAAATCCCTTTTTTTTTTTTTTTTTTTAATATGTAAATGTTACTTCTTGAATTTTGGCATAAACAAATCACTATTAAATAAATCAGTTAAATAGTGTTTTTAACTTTTTTCTGGGGAAAAAAAACTAACTAAAAAACAAAAAAAATTTTTTTCCATTACAATCAGAACACATGTTGCACAGTTGTTCAATCCTATGGTGCTGTGCATGTAGGAGCAGTTAGGGTGCATACAAGGCTATGAAAGGAATATATATGCATATATATATGAATATATGTCGCCAGCATGACCTTTTCTGCGCTAATGTGGACGGGCAGTAAATTTATTTTAGATTGGTTTTTGAGCAGGACCCTCTTCACCTACTGTTCCTTTATATGAAACGTGTTTTGCTAGAATTTTTTTTTTTGCTTATTGTACAGTGCTGAGAAATATGTTGGTTTTATATATCATTATAATTTTAAATTTTTGTATGTGATGCTCGGTTTTCTTTTAAAGGTTATGGTGCTAACAGGCTACTGGCACAAATCCAGAGTTCTGAATCAAACCATTTTTGAGTAGTTTAATACAACCTGTGGGTCCCTCAGGTCAGGTGCCTGTGGTCTGGCCCGTATTCAAGTGTATAAACCCTGGGTAGGCAACTTTTTAGCAGCACTGTGCCAAATCAAGACTTCAAAAACCCTTTGTGTTTTGTTTAATTTTTGTGTGTACGTTGTTGCATTGTGCTTGTGTGAAGTATGGGCAGGGCTGTCTTAACAGCAGTATATGCCCCCAGGCATAGGCAGCTCTCTAATTAGGCGATCTATGGCCTCGCGCTGTCTGGGGTCTCGCAGATGCCTAAATCATCATAGGGCAGACTGAACTGTCAGGTTGTCGGTCTATAACCGAGGACCCTACACAGGAGGGGGCCCGGCTGCTTGCCCTTTATGCTGCCAGGTGCGAGGCCCCTCCGCTCTGTCTGCCCTGGGGGAGAGCCCACCTTCAGTCTGCAGCTCCACCAGGTGTGAGCTGCAGACTGAAGTGTCTTGCGATCTCCAGCCAATCAGAGCATTGATACGGGTTACCACGGCAATGCTCTGACTGGAGCTCACAAGGCATTTACCATGTGGTCTACAGCTCTGCACCCGGCAGAGCTGCAGACCGGAGAGCCCCCCGGACCACCAGGTAAATTTCAACCTCCCCCCACGTCACCACCCTGTCACCCCCCCTCTCACACTCTGTCACCCCCTCCAAACACACTGTGACCACTCTTCGCACACTCCATTCTTCGCAGGAACCCCCCTCCGCACACACCGGCATGCCCCTTCGCACACACCAGCATCCCCCTCCATACACACTGTCTGCACAAAAGGGCATCACTCTCTGCACTCTGGCACCCCCCTCTATACACATTATCACCCCTCCATACACCCTGTTACTCTCCTCTGCACTCTGGCACCCCCTCCATACACCCTGTCACTCTCCTCTGAAATCTGGCACCCCCTCCATACACTCTGTTATCCCTAACACAAACTGACACCACCCCCACACACACTGTCTCCCTCACACACTTATATTAACTCCACCTGATTCAGTCACACTCATCCCATCCAATCATGCAGCACTTACCCTATAACATGAATCCCCCTAATCCTGTCACACTCACCTTTTCTCGCACTGTCACAGTCACCTCCCAGTCCTATCACACTCTACTTCCTTCACCCTGTCACAATCACCCTGTCGAATAAACCCCTCCAATCCTGTCACACCCACCTCCCATCGTCCTGACACACTCCCTCTTCTAACCGTGCCCAGGGCCGGTGCTTGGATTTTTAGGTACATAGGCGAAGATGCTTTTTTCCACCCCCCTTCCCCCTCCCCCCCCAAAATCTTCACCTATGTGCCTCTTAACCAGCCCCTCTCCCCTCCCCGACCATTAGTGGTCCCTTCCGTTCCCTGTCCCTTAGTGTTCTTCTCCCCTCCCCCCTTTCCCCCTCCCCCCTTTTTTCCCTGTCTCTTGGTGTTTCTCTCCCATTCCCTCCCTGTCCCTTGGTGCACCCCCCACCCCTTTAGTGGTCACACTTCCTGGTGTGTGCCTCCTACCTCTATTGTTGCATTGCCGAGCGGAGCAGATCCCCTAAAGGAGTTTTCTGTACCCGGACGGACTGACAGGGAGTGCTCTCTCTGTGAGCACCTCCTGTCAGTCTGGCCAGGTACAGGAAACAGAAGCTCCTGTACCGCGCTCTGCTCCACTACACTCTGTACACACTGACAGTCACACACTCAATGACAAACACACAGACGTCACTGACAGACACAGACTCATTGATCTGACACACACTCATTCATTGACACTGACAGACCCACACTGATTGACACTCATTGACAGACACACTGATAGTCACACACAGACTCAATGACGATGACAAACATCACTGACACTGATTTGACAGACAGACACACTCATACACTGACAAACACACTCATCATACACTGACAGACACACTCATACACTCACATGCACACACACTCATACAATCACTCACAGACACACAGACAGTCACTCACTCACAAACACACACTGTCACTCACAGACACACACCGAAGCACACAGTCACTCACAGACACACACACACACACACTGTCACTCACAGACACACGCTCAGTCACTCAGACACACACACTCATACAATCACTCACTCACACACACTCAGTCACTCAGACACACATGCTGTCACTCACAGACACACGCTCAGTCACTTAAACACACACTCATACAATCACTCACACACACACACACACTGTCACTCACAGACACACGCTCAGTCACTCAGACACACACATGCACACACACTCATACAATCACATGCACACACACTCATACAATCACATGCACACACACTCATACAATCACACACACACACTGTCACTCACAGACACACACGCTGTCACTCACAGACACACACAGAGACGCACACAGTCATTCATGGACACACACACTGTCACTCACAGACACACGCTCAGTCACTCACAGACACACACACTGTCACTCACAGACACACGCTCAGTCACTCACAGACACACGCTCAGTCACTCACAGACACACACACACACTGTCACTCACAGACACACGCTCAGTCACTCAGACACACACACACACTGTCACTCACAGACACACGCTCAGTCACTCATAGACACACACTGTCACTCACAGACACACACACAGACAAACACACTGTCACTCACAGACACACACACACAGACACACATCACATACATTCACTAATAATTTTATAAATAAACATTTTCCACCCAGCCTCCCTACCTGGAGAGCTGGTGTGGATGCTGGATCGGTCCCTGAGGGCTGGGGCTGCTGAGAGGCGCGCGGCAGTGCTGTGATCAGGCGCGCGAGGGAGCTCTAATCTCCATCCTCTGCTCCCTCGCGGGCTGCCTACTGATGACGTCATATTCCGGCTCCCGCGGCATCAGTAGGCAGCGCGCGAGGGAGCAGAGGGTGGAGATTAGAGCTCCCTCGCCCGCCTGATCACAGCACTGCCGCGCGCTGCGCCGGGGGTCGAGATGGTGGCCTGGCAGGAGGGAGAGCTTCCCTCCTGCCGGTCACTGAAATATTGCGCCCCCAGAGCCCGTGCGCCCTAAGGCGGCCGCCTGTGCCGCCTTATGGACGCGCCGGCCCTGACCGTGCCACACTATCCCCAGCTCTGTCATCCCCCCCAACGTTTCCACACTCACTCTGTCACATTAACAGCTCTAAACTTGTCACAGTCCCCCAACCGTTGCACACTCAACCTGTCACAATAATGCCTCTAATCCTGTCACACTTGCCCTCTCAATTAACCCCCCTTAATTATGTCACATTCACCTCCCCTTGCCCCATTCACCCTGTGATACTCACGCCCCAAGCATGCTACATTCACGCTATCACATTAATCCCTTAATCCTGTCATACATACCTCCTCTCACCCTGTAACACTCGCTCTTCAAACCATGCCTATCTCACCCTCTCTCATTGTGTCACACTCACGCCCAATGCTGTCTTATTCACCCCCTTTCTCTTTTACACTCACCCTGCCACAGTTTTTACCCCTTTACTCACCCTGTCACCCCCTGAAGGCAATCATTATACAAACCATCATAAAACATAGCTTCGTCAAAAACTCAGTGCCCAAAGGCCACGGGCAGTACACAAACATACACATGCTCAGAGAAATATACATACAGATATAAGGATACTCACTGTCAGACACACACTCTCAGGCACACACACAGGTAGACAATCCAAGACACAGTCAGGAATACACACAGCCAGATAAATACACATTGTCACAGATTTTTTTTAAAAGCCCAACCAAAACAAAAATCTGTTTCCAATAACCCCTTCACACCAGCACTTATGTATACACAACTGCAACCATACCTCGCAATCATGAATAAACAATTAGCATAATTGCACATTTAAATTTGTTTATTGCAATTTATACCATAACTACAGTCCGAGAGCTCACAACGCAGCGGCACAGTGAGCCACAACAATGCAAGCCTCTGAACAATGAATACAGAGACTAGGTCTCTACATGCAGGCCTACCCTTCAATATATCTACAGCTTCTTATACACACACAATTCAAACGCTTTTTTTTTTTCTTCACTAATGGTGTTAGTGAGGGCCTCATGTTTGAGTTTTGCCTAAGTCCTCGCCGAGTCTAGAGCCGCCACTGCCCCTGGGGAGGGCAATGCACTAGGGCCCTGCTTACACAACAACTCACTGGAATGAAAATGTAAGGCATTGATACAATTAGGCTTATATTTACTTGTGCACATTACAAATGCAATACATACACACAGACTGCTGAGTACATTCACAGACTGCCGAATACATACACACAGATGGCTGAGTACACACACACACAGTTGAATACACACACACACACAAACTGCCGCGCAAACACAAATACAGATTGCTGAATACGCACACACACACTGCTGAATACATCCAGACAGTTGAATACACACACAAAGACTACAGTGAGGACTGCAGTGGGATGCAATATGTGAGAGGGGTGCACTGTGTGTGTGTGTTGAATTTATAAACACACAGACACCTGTATCACCACACACACACTGTTGACATACATACTGCGGAATACACACATACTGCGGTGAGGGGTACAGTGTGTGTGGTGATAAGGGAGCACATTTCCTTTTTTTTTCTTTTTTAATTGAAAACAACAACAAAAAAAACCTTTTATGTCCCATCCCTCTACCATCTTCTTACCTTGGCCAGGGTGGGGAGACATAATGTTGGAAGCTCATGGTTGCCCAGTGGTGGCACTCCTCCGGCTGCAGGCAGTCTTCTCTTCTCTCGTGAGATCAGTGCTGTGTCGGAGCGTTGCCACGGCAATGCTCAGACCAGCCTGCTGGCGGGAGGAATGATCTGTCTCCCAGATGCTCCTGAACTCCCCTCTCTTGGAAGGAACTGCCAGGAGGCCAGTTAGAAAGATCTTTGATGATCTCACCGGCCCAGAAAGCAGACAGCAGGGTCGGCTCTCTATGGGCCAGCATGGGAGATGAAAGTATTGTGTTGGGGCCCCCAGGTAACTGCCCAGTGTGCCCATGTAGAAAGACGGCCCTGACTATGGGTGCTGACCCCGGTATAAACTAACATATCATTGGGATGTGGGTTATGTTTTGACAGATATATCATGGGTCGTCTTGATGGAAAAGTAATTGTACTGTCAGCTGCTGCACAGGGAATTGGACGGGCTGCTGCTATAGTAAGTAACAAGAAATAATTAAGAATTGAACAACATGATGCTTAACATTAAAATGAGTAGTGATTATGGAGTTGCTAGGGTTAGCTTAATCTTAGCCTGTCACTCAGAGGTGGGTCTGTATCCTCTGCTCCCGTCCTATCAAGCAATGAGAGAGGGGTTGAGGTAAGGCTGGTAGCTGCTGTCTGAGAGTTCATTACATATATGTATGTCTGGCTGTTTATTTCTACAAAATCTTTAAATAATACTTTGCCATATATGCAGATTTCCACCTCCAGATGAGAAGCACAAAGTGGAAGGAAGTCCCAAAAAGATGGAATGGTGGTCATTGCTCTCTTTTGATCATAACACATGCATTAGCATAACAATCTGTTTTAAAATCTCATGCCATGGCTAAGGGATTTGCAGAAATGTGCGTTAAAAATCCTAAAAAAATAAAATTAAAATTTCAGTGTCTGCTTAATTACATATTCATGATGGCATTATTAAGGTTTGCATCAAGATTTGTAGGTGTTACAACAATACTACATTTCAGAATTCTCTTAAATCAATTGAAAAACCGTAATCAATTCTCACCAAAGCTATATGAGTAGTTATATACTCTATTCTAGTATTAGTGATGGTGCACTCTACATTAATCAAGATCGTTTCAGAATATATAGAGAGAGAGAAATAAGGAGATTTATTAAAACCTTTTTTTTTTTTTAAATAATCTCTTAAGAAGCATAGCAAACTAAACAGTTTTGTGATGCCATTTTGTATTTAGGCATTTGCTAAAGAAGGGGCCCAGGTCATTGCAACAGATATCAATGAGGACAAGCTGAAGGAACTTGAGTCCTACCAAGGTATGTTACAGTTTTAGTTCATCTTGCCATACTAAAGCAAGAAATATATCCACAGGTTCCCATGCAAGCCTTTTTCAGCAATTATATTGTATATCGTACACTGAAATTTAATCCCCTGTTGAGTACATTTAATAGTACACAGGAATACAGAAATGTAACCAAAGTCTTTTTTGTGACTGTAATTTTCTTAAAGGGACACTATAGTCACCTGAACAACTTTAGCTTAATGAAGCAGTTTTGGTGTATAGAACCTGCCCCTCAATCCTCTGCCATTTAGGAGTTAAATCCCTTTGTTTATGAACCCTAGTCACACCTCCCTGCATGTGACTTGCACAGCCTTCCATAAACACTTCCTGTAAAGAGAGCCCTATTTAGGCTTTCTTTATTGCAAGTTCTGTTTAATTAAGATTTTCTTATCCCCTGCTATGTTAATAGCTTGCTAGACCCTGCAAGAGCATCCTGTATGTGATTAAAGTTCAATTTAGAGATTGAGATACAATTATTTAAAGTAAATTACATCTGTTTGAAAGTGAAACCAGGTATTTTTTTTCATGCAGGCTCTGTCAATCATAGCCAGGGGAGGTGTGGTTAGGGCTGCATAAACAGAAACAAAGTGATTTAACTCCCAAATGACAGTGAATTGAGCAGTGAAATTGCAGGGGGATGATCTATACACTAAAACTGCTTTATTTAGCTAAAGTAATTTAGGTGATTATAGTGTTCCTTTAAGTTGTTTAACTTACACCTAGCACCATTCAGCTACAATATATATTTTATTAAAATACATTGGATGCTTGTTTATAGTGCTCAAAATGTAAAAGCTTTATTGTGTTTTTGTTTCCAATTACCAAACTTAAATGGTTACTAAAAAAAAAACCTCTATGGTTATTCAACTAATAGAGAATAGTGAATAATGGATAATAGTCAAAATAATATAGTTGAAGAATGTTACTAAATTGTCTGTGTTGGGGACAATTGTGTATTCCCCCACCCCTCTCCATTCTTCACACTTCTCTCTTTAGTTAATAACCCAATAACTGTGCATGTTTCTGCATATCAATTAACTAATTCCTTCACCTGCTACAGGAATACAAACAAGAGTACTGGATGTGACCAAGAGAGAACAAATTGAAAAGCTGTGCAGTGAGATTGATAGAATTGATGTCTTATTTAATGTAGCTGGGTGAGTAAACCTGGTTCGAACTTTGAGTGTTTTCCACTTTAATGCTAAGCTTAACTTTTGCTGGAGGAGGAAGCAATATTGTATTAAAATAGGGCTTATTCACTAAATTGAACTCCAAAAAGTATGCTAAATTTCCAAGTTAAAAAGTGGCTTGTTTCTTGTCTGAGTTTACTTCAGCAACATTATTTTACGATATTTCAGATTTAATTCAATGGTTAAAATTGTCAGATGACACCACTCAATTTTTGCTTTTAAAGTGTGATAGAGCCAGGGTACTCCTATCTACTACAGCATGATGTGATGTTACTGTGCTTAGAGTGCCCCTTTAAATTGGATTATATATTTATTCTCAATATGTTAGAATAGAATTTTGTGGTGTACAGAATGCCTCTACTTACAGAATAATAGTTCACATTCTGTTATACATAAGTGTATAACTGAAAGTGTATAAGTAGAAATGGTTACACAAAGTATGAAACCACTGCCACATGTATCACAAAATGACACTAGGCTTGATTAAGTCTGTGATATGTTTGTACAGTGTGGCGTCTCCAATCTAAATATTTGAAACTGTCACATTTGTCATGCCTCCCAACAGTCCCAGGTTCAGCAGGACAGTCCTACTTTCTGTCTTCTGTACCACACTGGGTTTGATCTTGCTTGTTAGGCTTTTCATGCTACCAGAGCTCTTCCTTAGTACTTTTTGATATAGTGAGGAAGAGCTCTGGTGGCATTAAAAAAAGGTTAAAGGGGCATTATATGCACCAAAATGACTTTAGTTTGATGGAGCCGTTTTGGTATATGGGTCAAAACAAAGTTAGCTTAATGAAGCGGTTTTGGTGTATAGATCAAGCTCTTGCAACCTCACTGCACTAATGGGCGGGGGCTCAGAGAACATTAGGTCCAACATCGTTCATTTTATTTAACTCCCTTGGTGACTGCGAACGTATCAGGTACGTCAGACAAAAAATGGTCGTTAACGACCTCAGATCGTAAGTAATACGTCCGAGGTAATCCTAATTACTTACCCATTCGCCGCCGATCCCCCGCTGCCGATCAGTGTTCCTCTCTGTCTGGGGGGACTGTCTGACAGCCCAGACGGTCCCCCCTCAGCAGATTAGGCCTTTGCTGGCCATGTGACCTGAAAGAGCGGTCACATGGCCGCAATAGGCGTACAGGCATCTGCCTGAACTGACAGTTTTTTACAGTTCCAGCTCCAGATCATTTCAGGGATTTTGTACCGTGATGCACCTTCTCCCCAGGCGGTGATTGGAGAGACCAGAGATGGGGCTACAAATTTTATTTTTAAAATCCCTCCTACTAAAAGCAGAATCCCCAAAAAAGATGCAGAGTCTGTTTTAAGAGGGGGCAGAGAAAAGATACCGTATATTACTGTCCTGATTGCCCTGGACAGCCTGGGCTCTGCATTGGGGACTGCTTCAAACAAAATCACACACTGGTCCATTTAAAAAATAAAATAAAAATTACATTTGCCGTTCAGTTTTTTTTGTTTTTTTGGTTACGTTTACCTTATATATGGGGGGCATGGGTGTACTCAGGAGGCCTTGCAGAAAACAACCTGGGGTATTTTCTTGCAATAACCAAACAACAGGCTCCCCTAAATCACAGTCAAAAAGCAATGTGTGTGTGTAAAAATTAAAATTGAACAATTACCACCACACACTTTCTCCAATTTTTTGGGGCTAAAACGGTTGCATCAAAGCACTCCATATACAATACCTCGGGGTGTCTATGTTTCAAATATATACACTTTCATGGCAATAAATAAAACCGGGGTACGTGATAAGGCCAAAACTAGGATAGGCCTATCAGAAGAAATGCTCTCAATTTCAACTCGAATTACAAGTCATACAATTGTAACTGAACCTTCCCAATATCCTGGCAAACTTATGCATGGGGGGCATGGGTGTACTCAGAAGGCCTTGCAGAAAACAACCTGGAGTGTTTTCTTGCAATAACAAACAGGCTACACTAAATGTATGTAAAAATTTTAATTGAAAAATTACCACCACACACTTTCTCCAATTTTTCAAGTAAAACGATTGCATCAAAGGCATCAAAACACTCCATATACAATACCATAGGGTGTCAACCTTTCAAATATATGCATGCTCATGGCAAGAAAATTAATTGGGATATCTAAAAAGGGCCCCAAAAAGAAGATATGTGTTGAAAATTTGAAAAACATGTCATATGTTTGGCATTGCACCTCACAAACAACTCAACAAACCTATGCATAGGTGGTATCACGGTACTCAGGAGATGTTGCTGAACACATATTGGGGTGTTCTTTGGCAGTAACACCTAACAGGAACTGAGAATCCATGCATAAAATACAATGTGAGAGAAAAATCACACAAAAAATGACTACCCAAAATGTTTGACAAAGACTGGTGGTAGAATTAGTGCATGGAAAGTGTTAAAATACCACCATTTAAAATACCCTAGGGTGTCTACTTTTCAAAAATATACGGTTTGATGGGGCTAAGTTACATTGGCTGTCTTCAAAAATGTCCCAAATGGGACATCGGTGCATGATGACCAGCTGTGAAAATTCCAAGTTGGAAAACAGGAATGCGGACCCTCCAAATAAGGTCTTTTAGCACCCAGAGAACCTGACACACCTGTACATGGATATACAAAGAAACTTTTGAGATATGACTGTATAAAATCTAAATCAGGAACAAAAAAATATATACATAGTGTGATACAGTAAATAAGATTAATAATGCGCTGGGATTAAAATACACTCACAAGATCGAGATGAATAAGCGCTCAAAGGTGCCTGCCCTGATATTGATGGGCAGCTAAATTCCTCCAATTTCCACTGATTTTTCAAGCGGACCAAATATATAATGAGACTCCAATGGGAGTAAGTTATGTAAACTTATAAACGAAATTATTATATAAAGTTATTGACAAAACCCCAGCATTTGGATTGGATGACCCATTATTTTTTACAAGAATGGGATGAGATCCTTACAAATTGCATGTTTCAACTTATCATCAAACATTCTAGAGAGGCACAACATAAATTGGAAACTGAATTGAATACTGTCAGCATTACTGTTTGATCCAGCACGTAGAACTGTACAGCACGGATGACAAATAACATATTACCGGTCCTTAGAATGGCCGGATTTAACGTACAAAGAATAGTCAAAAATACTAGCCGAGGTCAGGGAACACAGAAAGGGACACAGCGATGAGGAAAGCCAGGAGTCAGGATACCAGAATATAGAGAAGTCAATAAACAAAGCCAAAGTCAAAACCAGGTAGAAAACTATAAACAGGAACGCGCTCTCAGACAACCACAAGGGAAACCACGACAGGGCACTGAGCAGGCTGAGAACTGGGCCTAAATACCCCTCCTTTAGTTCTGATAGGCTGTAACCGGCCTTTGACCCCAAAGTCAGTTACCAGGTTTCATTTGCATAATTGCTGCTCAGCATTAACCCTTCTGTGGATTAGGTTGCTGCTCGGCACAACTTTTCCTGTGTGGACAGTAAATGTCATTAACCACATTTCTATAAGCGGATGAATATGTGACATTACCCCCCACCTGAAGAACGCCCACCGGGCGGACAGGACCAGGCTTGAGAGGAAATTTGCAAAAACCAAAACTGTATATACTATACAGAGATAAGGCGCCACTTATCACCAAATATAAATACTGGATATAGTTACCCTCCAGCTAGCAAGTGAGGATATTCACATAAAAAATATAAAAAGATTTTATATTTTTTATGTGAATATCCTCACTTGCTAGCTGGAGGGTAACTATATCCAGTATTTATATTTGGTGATAAGTGGCGCCCTATCTCTGTATAGTATATACAGTTTTGGTTTTTGCACATTTGGTTAAGGGATACAGGGAGTGCATCCCTATATATAGTGGCTTGCCTGCACTTTCTAACGGTCAGTTCTTTCACAATCCACTTTTGGTTTTTTGAGAGGAAATTTAGCGTGAAAAGCGCGGATCTTACGGCCCGCATGCAGGTCAGGAGCCGAAACCCAAGAACGATCAGCAGGACCGTAACCTTTCCAAACAACCAAGTACTGTAAAGTGCCCCGAGAAAACCTAGAATCCACGATAGAAGATACCTCATACTCTTCCTGACCACCCACCACCACCGGAGGGGGAGGAACACAAGGAACAGTATATCTATTGCAGACAAGAGGTTTGAGTAAGGACACATGAAAAGTGTTGGGAATCCCTAAAGATGCAGGAAGAGCCAGAGAGTAAGACACTGGATTGATCCTACGAAGCACTCTATAGGGACCAAGGAATCTGGGGGCAAACTTCATGCTAGGGACCTTAAGCTTGATGTTGCGAGATGACAACCAAACCCGGTCCCCCACTTGGTACACCGGGTTGGCACTCCTACGCTTATCAGCAAAATGTTTGAAGCGTTCAGCAGCAGCCCCTAGAGCAGTTTGAACCTTAACCCAGGTATCCCGAATGGAGGCCAGACGCTCATCCAGAGCAGGAATGGCAGTATCAGAAAATACCGCAGGGAGAACCGTAGGATGCCTACCATTATTGACAAAAAATGGACTGTGCCCAGAGGAGTCATGAACAGCATTGTTTCTAGCGAACTCGGCCCACGGGAGTAGTTCGGACCAATTGTGTTGTGTGCTATTAATAAAACAACGCAAATAAACTTCTAATGACTGGTTAGCCCTCTCAGCTGTACCATTGGTCTGTGGATGGTAGGAGGAGGAGAAGGAGAGATCAATCCCCAATTGTTTACTGAACGCTCTCCAGAACCTGGACACAAACTGAGAGCCCCTATCAGACACAATATTGTGGGGGATGCCATGCAAACGGACAATTTCACGTATGAAAATTAGGACCAAATCTTGCGAAGATGGCAACTTCTTGAGAGGAATGAAGTGAGCCATCTTAGAAAATCGGTCTACAACCATGAGAATAGTAGTGAACCCAGCAGAGCTAGGAAGCTCAACAATAAAGTCCATGGATAGGTGGGACCATGGAATCTCAGGAACAGGAAGAGGCTGCAACAGGCCACAAGGAAGTGCATGAGTCACCTTAGAAACTGCACACACAGAACATGCCTGCACATACTCCTTTACATCTTTCCTGAGTGAATCCCACCAAAATGATCTAGTGATCGCGGCAGTGGACTTATTGATGCCCGGGTGTCCAGCAGTTATATTGTCATGGAACACTTTCATGATATTAACCCTTTCACATAGGGGAACGAACAGTTTATCACACGGTTTACCACTGGGCGCCTGAGGCTGGGCCTCCAGTATGGTGCCAAGCAGTGGAGAAGACAGTGAGAGGACAGTAGTAGCAATAATACACTCTGGTGGAATAATAGGAGATGTCACCTGTTCCGGAGCTGACTCATTATCAAATTGCCTGGACAAGGCATCAGCCTTGGTATTTTTAGAACCAGGTCTATAAGTAATGAGAAAGTTAAAACGTGAAAGGAACAGTGACCATCTAGCCTGTCTGGAAGACAAACGTTTGGCATCCCCTATATATGCCAGATTTTTGTGGTCGGTTATGATCAACAGGGGGTCCTTGGAACCCTCCAAAAGATGTCGCCACTCCTTGAGGGCAAGAATAATGGCCAACAGTTCTCTATTGCCAATATCATAGTTGCGCTCAGCAGGAGACATCTTTCTGGAGAATTAGCCACAAGGATGCAATGGTGTTCCCTGGCTTTCTCTCTGAGAGAGAACAGCCCCTATCCCTGTCTCGGATGCATCAACCTCCAATATAAAAGGTTTACTGGTGTCAGGATGTTTTAGTATGTCCGCAGAGGCAAATCTTTGTTTAATAGTCTCAAAAGCATTCACAGCCTCTTTGGACCATACCGTGCTACTAACCCCTTTGCGAGTCATATTTGTGATTGGGGCTATTACAGAAGAAAATCCCTTGATGAATCTTCTGTAATAGTTGGCAAAACCAATAAACCTTTGAATGGCTTTTAAACCAGAGGGTAATGGCCAGTGTAGTACAGCCTCTAGTTTTTTAGGATCCATTTGAAATCCCGATGCAGAGATGTTGTAACCCAAAAAGTGGACTTCAGGCTGGTCAAATATGCACTTTTCTAATTTACAATAAAGTTTATTTTTCAACAACGTCTGCAGAACCTGTTTCACATGGGAGTGGTGAGTTTGAAGATCAGGGGAATACACCAAAATATCGTCCAAATAAACCAAGACAAATGAGTAAATGAATTCCCTGAGTACATCATTTATAAAGTCTTGGAATACGGCCGGGGCGTTGCATAACCCAAATGGCATTACCAGATATTCATAGTGTCCACTACGGGTATTAAATGCCGTCTTCCACTCATGATTCTCTTTAATTCTAACCAAATTGTAAGCGCTCCTAAGGTCAAGCTTAGTAAATACTTTAGCTCCCTGAAGTCTATCGAACAATTCGGAAATGAGTGGAATAGGGTATGCATTTTTTACAGTGATTTTATTAAGTGCCCTGTAGTCTATGCAAGGGCGTAACTCACCACCCTTTTTCTCAACAAAAAAGAATCCTGCACCAGCTGGTGAGGATGACTTTCTTATGTGCCCTTTGCTCAAGGATTCTTTGATGTATTCCTCCATTATTTTACTCTCCTGGGGAGATAAGGCATAAACTGCCCCCTTAGGTGGCATAGCGCCTGGAAACAGGTTAATGGCACAGTCATATGCTCTGTGGGGAGGCAATACATCGGATTGAGCCTTGTTAAACACCTCCTGAAGTTCTCGGTATTGTATGGGAACTCCAGGAGTTTGGGGAGTGGTAGTGGGAAGGTCAATAGTATCCAATCTCTTTAGTACTGGTTTTATACATCTCCCCATACACTCTTTACCCCATTCTAATATCTCCCCATTAGCCCAGTCAATATAGGGATTGTGCTTACTCAGCCACGGAAACCCTAATATGATAGGACATGATGGAGAAGTAATAACCTGAAACGTCATCTCCTCCCTATGGGAGGCCCCAATGGAGATCGTAATAGGGACAGTTTCGTGGGTTATAAGCGGTTGTGTGAGTGGTCTACCATCAATAGCCTCTACAGCTAGCGGCGTAGGTCTCTCCCTGACCGGTATCTCATTACCCTTAATAAACTGGACATCAATAAAATTTCCAGCAGCACCTGAGTCCATTAGGGCACTGCAAGAAAACTTCTTGTTATCAAGGGAAATAGATACCTCAAGGAGGAATCTACTTTTGCTTTTGTTAGAGGACAACTCCATCACACCTAAGATCTGTCCCCTTAAGGTTCTTAGGTGCGGAAGTTTTCCGGATGCACTGGACAATTACTTATCATATGTCCCTTTCTACCGCAATATAGGCATAACCCCTCCCTTCTCCTATACAGTTTTTCGGCTTCTAACAGTCTAGTGACCCCCAACTGCATAGGTTCGGGTTCGGACTGTACAGGGAGGTTAGACAAAACAGGTTTAGAGAATTGAGGTGCTAGGGACATAGCCGTACGTCTGGTCTTGCTTCTGGTGACTTCTCTGAGTCTTAACCTATTATCAATATGCATGACAAACGTAATAAATTCGTTAAGACTCTAAGTTAATTCTTTAGCGGCTATCTCATCTAGTATAGTCCCTGAGAGACCCTTTTTGAATGCTGAGATTAACCCATTGTTAGTCCAGTCTACTTCGGAAGCTAAGGTACGGAATTCAATAGCATAATCCGAGATAGACCGGTTACCTTGTCTGATGTGCATTAGGGCAGTGGAGGCGTCATCCTCTCTACCCAATGGCTCAAACGTGAGCTTGAATTCGGCAAGGAATTCCTGGTAATTATGAGCTATGCTCCGATTACTCTCCCACAACGGATTAGCCCAGGCAAGGGCCTTGCCCTTTAATTGATTCATTAGATAACCAATTCTTGCTCTGTCTGTGGGGAATGACCCTGGTGAGGCCTCAAAATGGTACTCCACCTGATTAAGAAAACCCCTGCATTCCTGGATATTGCCATCAAACTGTAGGGATGGTGATAAGGAGATGCTAGGAGTCCTATTAACAGTGGGTGGAGGTACACAGGGTAGAGGTGCTATAGGAGGAGACGCTGCAGGCTGCAGATGCTCCGTTCTAGCGAGAAGCGTACTGAAAGCCTGAGTGAATTGATCCATGCGGTGATCATTCTCCTCTAATTTCCTCTCGCAAGCAGCTATGTGCTGACACAGTTCTACAGGATCTATGGCCATGTCGTAATGTCAGGATTACTGTTTGATCCAGCACGTAGAACTGTACAGCACGGATGACAAATAAGTAACGTATTACCGGTCCTTAGAATGGCCGGATTTAACGTACAAAGAATAGTCAAAAATACTAGCCGAGGTCAGGGAACACAGAAAGGGACACAGTGATGAGGAAAGCCAGGAGTCAGGATACCAGAATATAGAGAAGTCAATAAACAAAGCCAAAGTCAAAAACCAGGTAGAAAACTATAAACAGGAACGCGCTCTCGGACAACCACAAGGGAAACCACGACAGGGCACTGAGCAGGCTGAGAACTGGGCCTAAATACCCCTCCTTTAGTTCTGATAGGCTGTAACCGGCCTTTGACCCCAAAGTCAGTTACCAGGTTTCATTTGCATAATTGCTGCTCAGCATTAACCCTTCTGTGGATTAGGTTGCTGCTCGGCACAACTTTTCCTGTGTGGACAGTAAATGTCATTAACCACATTTCTATAAGCGGATGAATATGTGACAAATACTTTGGATTGACAAAACACCTGTACATGGGTGGTATCACTGCACTGAGGAGATGTTGCTGAACACATATTGGGGTGTTCTTTGGCAGTAACCCTTAAAGTTCTCAGTACATATATTAAATATGCTATATGCTATGTGTGTCAAAATAATCACCAATTATTATTATTATTATTATTATTATTATTATTATTATTTTATTTTTAATTTGGCATAGATTGGTAGTAAAATGGTTGCATGAAAAGAGTCAATATACCCCAAGTTTATTACCTTAGGTTGTCTTCTTTTAAAAAATATATACTTGTGAAGGGTTATTCAAGGATTCCTGACAGATATCAGTGTTACAATGTAACTTGCGTTAATTTTGAAAAAAAAAAAATGGTTTGGAAAGAACATGTTAACATTGGGTATTTCTAAAATCAGGACAAAATTGAGAAACTATGTAGCATGGGTGTTTTTTTGACGGTTGTAGATGTGCAACAGATTTTGGGGTTGAAAGTTCGAAAAAGTGTTTTTATTTTTCATTTTATAATTTTTTTATAGTAAATTATACGATATGATGAAAATTATGGTATCTTTAGAAAGACCATTTAATGGCGAGAAAAATGGTATATAATATGTGTGGGTACAGTAAATGAGTAAGAGGCAAATGACAGCTAAACACAAACACCTCAGAAATGTAAAAAGAGCCCTGGTCCTTAACAGTAAGAAAATTGAAAAACGGTCTGGTCACTAAGGGGTTAATAGGCTCCACACGATGACCACAGCTGAAGGCACGTGAAGGGCACTATGTCACCTACTTTATTATTTAAGCATGGTAGGTAGAAGCATGATGGAGATTTTTTAACTTTCCTCAGACTAATGTAGGGATAATATTTTCCCCGGTAGGGTCAATTTAATTTTTAATTTAACCCGTATGGGCACTGGGGGAAGGAAGTGTTGTGGGAGATCTGCTCCTCACAGCTTCCATTTTGAAACCCTCGCTCACCAGAAATGAGTGAGAGGTTAGAAATTAAATCTGGTTATCTGAATTTCATTTGGAACAAAATTATGCAAAGAAAATTTGGACATCTCAAGCCATAGAAGAAATTTGGTCTGTCTGAATTGTTTATTTTCAGATGAACACTTTTTTCTGACTATATGCAAATCTGCTGGCTATATTTATTTTTTTTATTTTGTTTTCTTTATGGGAAAACCTCTAGTATACTATGCTTGTTGTTTTATGTGTTGTGAGACCACTGTTTTTGTTTTTTTTCCCTCAGGGTGGGAAATATGCCTTTTACAATAATGTTTACAGTTGGGAGTTTTGTAAGACTTGTACTAAGCTAAAATGGCAGACATGTAATGGCATTTTAAATTTGTTCTTTAAAACTAGCACCTGGCATGACAAGTAACATTTAAAACTATATCCCCTGTTCCCAAATTATAACTGTACAACTCATTTAAGTACAGTATGTGGTACATACACTTGTATGGATACATTGAGAGCAATTACTTGTTGTGAAATTGCAGGATATAAGGGAGGTATCTAGATTCTGTGATTTTATTTATTGATTTATTTATTTTGTGAAAATTCTTTTTTTTTTTTTTTTTTATTAAACAAGCAGCAAAGTGTACTTCCATTGTTACAAGTGGAATCATCTATAAAGTTACAGCTGTTCCTACGTTTGTGTACATAAAGTACGCTAGTAAAAATGCACTACAAACACTATTCATTTGAAAGTTATAAAAGTATTAATGTAACAGTAGTGCTACATTCCAATAGTTGAAATAAGGTTGTTATAATGATTGGTTTAAAATAAAGAAAAAAGGAAAGAAAAGAGCCTTAGACTACTGGAACCTCCATGGGGGTTAACCCCTTATAATTTGGCAAAAAGAAAAATTGGAGATTCCCGTACTGATAAATATTTAGACCAATGGAGCACAATAAATTAAAACGTCACTTTTAATAGATCGAATAAAAAGTCCCTTATTTATTCACACACTCTTAAATAAACACGTGTTTAAAACATCACATCTAAATATAAATAACTAAATCAACACAAAAATATGATTCCACTAGAGGGGAAAAATACCCACTCTAAACTATATTGGTCTAAATAAGTGAAATCCTATAAAAAAAGTAGGATTTCACTTATTTAGACCAATATAGTTTAGAGTGGGTATTTTTCCCCTCTAGTGGAATCATATTTTTGTGTTGATTTAGTTATTTATATTTAGATGTGATGTTTTAAACACGTGTTTATTTAAGAGTGTGTGTAGTGCCCTTATAAATAAGGGACTTTTTATTCGATCTATTAAAAGTGACGTTTTAATTTATTGTGCTCCATTGGTCTAAATATTTATCAGTACGGGAATCTCCAATTTTTCTTTTTTCTTTTTGTTATAATGATTGTTCCACTTTTAGAAAATTAAGAATTTATAAATTTTCTGCTTTTATAAATCCCCGTCACTGTTTCAGGTTTGTCCATCATGGAACCATTCTAGATTGCAAGGAGGCAGACTGGGACTTCACAATGAGTCTTAATGTCCGAAGCATGTATCTCATGATTAAAACATTCCTCCCAAAGGTAAGTCGTCCTTGTGGAATCCATTTAATTTTGCTAACAGTGTTAATTTACTGTGCAGCCATGGTGAGACGTCAGTTACACTGCCGAATTTACTGTATTTGTATAGAATGGGAATATAATCTGTATTTATACATTGATTACATATAGTAGATTTGTGATAAATACAGTACTCTCCTCATATTCTCACTGGTTCCAGTGTTGCAATTATAACTGGGAATGGTAGATAGGAAACTCTATTTTTTTTAAAGGGACACTATAGTCACCTGAACAACTTTAGCTTAATGAAGCAGTTTTGGTGTATAGAACATGCCCCTGCAGCTTCACTGCTCAATCCTCTGCCATTGTGTTCCCCAGATTTTTGTTGCTATGCCTCCCCAGTGCTGAGGTCTCTACCCCCCAGTGTTTTGGTCTCTCTTCCCCCTGCTGATGTGTTCGGTCACAAACTCTGAGCCTTGTTTAAGGCACACTGATAAGTTGGAACTGTTTGGAAGTTCTCTAAAAGGAAAAAGGTCTCACACTTTGCATATGTACAGGAATGAGAGGGAAGCCTGAACGATGTGCTGAACTTACCCTTGGAAATTACAGCACTGTGCTACAGGTGCTCTGACAAACCAATGAGCTGACCTCTTCACCTTCCACCTGTGTAAAAATTTTTTTTTTTTTTTTAAATTACAAAGTGTAATCCGGATTAGTTCTGCAAATGTTACAAATTGTTCCTTCACAATCTTTCCATAGCTGGGGCTGTTATTATAGGAATAAATGTATCACCAATATATTCTGCAGTGATTTACGTGTGTGTGTGTGTATATATAGCGACACACGCCATGCTGCTATGATTCGGAGGTCACAGGGTGAAATCTCCTTATAAAATGGAAATTTTCGTATAGGCTATTAACCAATATAAAACAATAAATTAGAATTCAGCATTAATTGCAGTGTCATTAAGCACACATAGAAGGCACACCTAAGCACATACCCTGTGAATACTAATTAGGTTACTTTGTCTATAAGGTGCTATTCCTGGGACAATAGCGCCATAAATGTGTCTAACACAGCTTCATGCATTAATCATACAGATTTATTTAATCATCAGATCTGAACTTCACCACTTTTATCTAATTTCAACAAGAAGCCTAGAAACAAACGAACATTTCCCTTTATTAAGGCATAGGAGCTCTCTGCACATGCCCAATACAGGGGTGACTTACATCCAATGGTTCTTTTCATGGCACTGAATGGGAGTCACTGATACAATGTAAATTATGAAGAGAAAGAAAAATATTTTGGGATGGTTTGTACAATGCTCCTTTGCTGGTTTAGTGTCTTGCATGTCACTAATTGTCAGTTTATGATTGTTCATGGGATTACGCTAAACAAATGAATGATTTATAGTCTATGCTGGCCAAATAGAAAGCACACATAGAGTTCAAAGAAAATATTTATAATATTTGATATTGTTGATTCTTACTTAGAAAGAAAAGAGGGATTGAGATTTCCTGGGATACCCAGCCATTTCCTGTTTTAAGTGAGAGCTGCAGCAATACTGTATAAAAAAAGCAAAGCATTTTATAAATTTTTATTTTCAATAATTTTTGTTTATACATTTATTTTTTTATGATAATCTTAATAGGTGCAAACATCTGGGATTAATGTCGCTTTAAGCAGGGTGTGTTAATTGCTGAGGAGAATACTTGCACTATAAAGTAATGACCAACTTTGCCTCTTCTGCATTTCAGATGCTTGATCAAAAATCTGGAAACATCATCAATATGTCATCTGTAGCATCTAGTATTAAAGGTAGTCTATAATAGATTTTATATGTTAACGCTTAATAGTTATTTAAACAATAATAAAATCCACTAATTGCATCATTAGCGTTCTCTGTTAGAGTCAATGACAGATACCCTGGTGTTTCAACAGGTAGGGCACTAGAAAGAGATGAAAAGTTTTGCATTTGGAAAATACTTACCCCTGGTGGTTGTGTGACCTACTTGAGCAGAAAACCACTGAGCAAATCTTAAAACGATGTATAAGAGAGAGAATTAGTACGGGGTACAACAAGGTCATGTTTTTTTTAGGTAGTTAAAAGTGTCTGAGGGTGCCAAGACCAGGCGAAAAATTATAGTTTGGCAACAGGCAAGGCAAGTAATCAAGCAAAGGTCCCCACCAAAAATATTTTCCTTACCCCTATCCTTACTGCTGTATGCTTTGGTTTTTTTTTTTCTCAAACCCTTTTTGTCCCTTTTAGCATAATGGCTCATTTGTTATAACTGCAGTTAATGTATGCAATGATCACTACTCCATTAAACTATTTACCAAGAGTCATGTATTGGTACAATATTACAAGTGATTTCTGATTTAAACTATTTTTATTACATAATTTATTGTCTCCATTTTGATTGTTTAAAAACCTCCATTTGTGATATTTTTTTTTTTTATTTTTTTTTTTTAGGTGTTGTAAATAGATGTGTCTATAGC